GCGGGGACTGCTGGCACAGAGCCCAAGTCCTTCTTAGCATGCTTCGCAGCCTTAACCACCATATGGGTCTCCACCGCAGGCTTGGACTTCTTGGCCTTCTTAGTAGGGGTAGACACTGTGGAAGGAACGTTTGGTACCTTAGATTTCGATCTGTCGGTATCGGAAACGGATTTGGCCTTCGACGTCGATTGTTTCGGCGCCGATGTGTTGGTAGCGGAGGACATAGCCATAGACGAAGCGACCTGCTGATCCGCCATAGGTTTGAGAGCTTTTTCCATGAGGAAAACCTTTAAGCGCGCTGCTCTATTTTTCCTGGTTTGATTCGAAAATTGAGAACAATGTTCGCAGGAGTCTGGATTGTGGGTTTCACCCAGGCAGAAGATACAGTACTTGTGACCATCCGGAGGAGCCAATTTACTACCGCAGCTGCGGCAGCGATTAAAAAATCCCCACTTCTTCGATTTTTTAGTCTTTCTCTCCATAGACTAAGAGGCGTTGAAGAGTCTTAGCGGTAAGGAGAGCGTGGGGGGGGGGCAATGGCCTGAAGGCCTGAGGTAATTTTACCTCAGACGACGAAAAATAAAAAGTCTCCCTTTTTAAAAAAAAAAAAACACAGAAAAAGAAAGAGAAACTGAACAAAAACTGAGGTGAAAAACGAGAGCTAGTCACTAAAAAGTGATCCAAAAGCAGCGATCCGGCCAGACCTCTCGAAGAAAGGTCTGCTCAGCGCGGCGGAAAGGAAAGAACTGGCGGGATGTCCGTGCCTGGCCTTCTGGGCATGCTCACTGGGGCTCCTGAGCATGCTCAGTTGGGCCAGGCACGAAAATCCTTTTAAGAGAGCTTGCTAGGCACCGGCAGATCCAGCGCAGGCGCACTAGATCCCCATTGGTGTGAAGCACAGAGACCACGAAGAAGATCCAACTCTTCTTATGTTACCTAGCAGCCCACAGTTTTTCTGGCATTTTGGGTCAAATGGACCCATTCTTCACATCTTTGGGCTGGCAAAAAAAAAAAAAAGGCACTTCATTTGTGTGCTGGTGTGAACCATCAACCCTCTGTGGCACAGTACCACTAATGTTCCAACAGTGGCAATATAGCAAGCATAGATAAGACAAAGCATCTTGCAGGGGGGATTATGGAGGGCAAACCCTGTTAACTGCTCAGTCCATTTTTACTTTTCATTAAATATCAGAGTACACAGGCTACAAGTAAGTGAGCAAGAAGGAACAGTTTGCTATTAAATCTACCACAGGAGACCTGAGACAGCCGTTCTAGGGAATCAATGCTGTAGAGTAGGTTATGGAATGCAGGACAGCCACACACACGGCTGACTTTCAGTGGTTGCAGACATCTGACAACTGTAAACTAGTCCTTACACAAATACAGCTACCATGCAGTGTAGAGAATGATGTTTACTAGAAACATTTATATGGAATCACCAAAAGTAAAACAGAAAAGCAACTAGAAAATGCTACCTGAAGATGACTTTCTGACACTGGGAAGATCAGCTGCTGATGTTGAATGAGAAATGGAGGGAGTTTGCAAGGCAGCATAGTTGTTTTGAAAAGAGTCTGGTTTTAAAACATCTTCCTCCTCCGTGAAATCCTCCACAATCAAACGGGTTGAATAACGTTCTGATTCAACAGAAGGACAAGGAAACCAAATATGTTAAGTTAGAAGAAAAACAATGCAGACACACTTTACTCTAATTTTAGCTGCAATTCAGTAAATTCAGGACATCTTGCAATGTTTAATTCATTTGGATGATGTGCTGCTTTTCTAATGCTCCCAATATCCTTTTATTCATTTCAAGATGTTATTAAAACCTCTCTTCTTTCCCATCTATCCCACTGTCACTGGGGACAAAGCTCTCTCTCATCCACTCCCACTGCAAGGCCATGTCCTTCCCTCTCTTACGTTTAATTTTCTACAGCCCAGCAATGGAGATCAACACCACATACCTTCTTTGGTGACTTTAACACCTGGTGCATAGAAGGAAATGTCATTGTCTCCTGGATCAACTGCCACGCCTCCACCTTCATCTAGTGGTACTTCTACCAACTGGGGAAGAAAGTCCTTACTATTTTAGCAAAGGTAAGAAAGTCCTTACTATTTTAGCAAAGGTATTCATTTAAACACTAATATTTCCTTACAGAAACTAAATATATACAAAAAGAAATCACCATCAAAAACATTATTTTCCCATCAAACATTTCCCACTTTTAAATGCTTTTAAATCCCTAGCAAAGCAGAATCTGTGGGTTTTGTATCCCGATTAAGCACGGAGATGATATAATTTCCAGGAAAATGAACGGCCACAGTAACACAACAGGTACGCGCCCCACACACTATTCTGCTTTATGGTGATGTATGGTAAACATATGCATAAGCAAAATTAACTTCACATTAGGCCGTGGATAAAAAGAGAAACCACATTCCAATGAACAAGAATCTTAACCCCTCAGCTTCCATTACCTTATAATGCTCTATCTACAAGATAGTTTCAGCTGGGCAGCTGTGCTGGTCTGCAGTAGACAAGCAAGATTTGAGTCCAGAAGCACCCTGAAGACCGACAAGATTTCCCAGGGTATAAGCTTTCAAGAGGCAAAGTTCCCTTTCTGTCCTACAAGGACAGAGTACCTTGCTCTGTGCTCATTCATCTACAATCCTAACACGTTTCACTGTTTTCAAAAGTAAGAACACAATTAAAGAATTCTGGGTTCAGTTACACTGCCAATTAGAGATAATTGGGGGGGGGAGTGAAAGACTATACATCCAAGGTACCTGGCTCTACCCTGCTCCAAACACAGAGGGGGGAAATTACCCCTACTGTAAACAATTAACAGCTGTTCACTTTTCAACATTGATTTTTATTTTTGCCTCCAGATGTTTGAGTATGGCCAGATACTTATGGGTTTTTTTATACTGGGGCTGCTACAGATTCTAGCTCCCTTGTCTGTAGAGTTGTAATCCTTGTACTGATAATGCAGGGATAATCCTGATTAAAAATTTCTTCAAGGTCATCCAAGTGTGCTTAAGGGTTGCTAGCTTCAGGTTAGGAAATTCCTAGAGATTTTGGGGTAAAGCCTGGGCAGGTGGGTTTGGGGGAGGGACCTCAGTGGGATGTAATGCCATAGAGTATTTCATTCAAAGCAGCTATTTTCTCCATGGGAAATGATCTCTGCTATCTGGAGATAAATTGTAATCCTGAGAGATCTCCAGTTTCCATCTGGAGGCTGACAACCCTAATTTGAACCCACATGTATCCAGCACCCTAGCCCCTACAGTATATTTTCTCCATTTTAAAGTGCAACTTAAGTTGAATCCTTATCCTACTTGTCAAGGGACAAAAGAATGACCTCTGAAAGATCATAAGGCTCAAATATACCAGTTCAGTGTTTCTGAATTCTTGCTCTATTCTTTCTGTCACATTCTGTAAGGCTAGTAGCTTCTTATCCATTTCTTGTAGTTTGGCAGAAAAGTGATCTCTGCTGATTTGTTTGGCTAACAGTCCTGGGGAGGAGTGACTCCTGAAATCCTCTTGCAGAAGACGCAGTGTGAGACGATCACCAGCCATTTCTGCCTCTAAACGCTCCAGTGAAGCTTGCGATGGTTCTGTTTGAAACATATGCCCTTTAAAAATACATGTAAATGGTAAGGCTTGACATATGCTGCCATTTGAAACCATCCTAATGTTTACTACAACAGAGATTTGTCCCTTTATGACTTTTCTCAGTGACTTTTACATAAAATGCTCAAAGCAACATACAGCGATGATTCAATTTTATTCTGATTGTATGGTTTTATTGTATCTTAAATTTTACTCTCATCCTTGGTTTGTGGCTAAATACAAATACATTTCTATTTCAAACATACAGCGATGAATACAGAAGGTGGATTGTCTGCCTTGTGGGAGCAGAAGAGCGCTTCCACTTGTGCAAAAGTGGTAGTACTCTCATTCGCTACTCTCCTTTTATCACTGCAGATTCTCCCCTCAACAAATTACATTTCCAAGGATCCCTCATTGCAGAGGCAGCAGTGGGGAAGGAGAGAGAAGGTGGAAAATCTGTTCTTTGACCAGAACTCTGGTTATGATTTTTTGGCTCCAAATTATATTCGTTCTGGTAAGAACAGATTGAGAGACCGAATCTGGAAGAGACACAAATTTCTCAGCAGAAACTAATTTAAAGGAATATTTTTTCACCCAAGAAGATTTCAAAAAAAAAAAAACATTATGGATTTTCACCTTCATTCCCTATTTCTTCAGGTGGAATTGCACTGGTAACGGATGCTGCCATGTGATGCAGTTTTGCAGAAGGTAGGACACCAGGCTTCTTTGGCTGCAGGGCAATGTCCTTCACTGCAGGCTCTGATATCTCTGGCATGTTTTTCAGAAGGTCATCATCTTCTATATCAATCACATTGATATACTTCCGTCCAACCTAACCCACACGTAAAGAACAATATAATGAGCAATAAGCTATATTAAATGAATGTAGCTACTTATTTATATAAATGAGCTACCGAATGGGAACACTCTCCCGATAGGTGGCTAATTGAGACACACATACATATGATTTGTTACAGTATCAGCAAATATTTCTCATTACTGACCAAATCAAGTGCAGCATTAGATAAGGAGGATGGTAAGGGCATCTCTGTGGCTTCAGTGGGAAATCTGAGATTTAAGTACAGATGTGGTGGCAACGTCTCAGGAACACATGAAGGCAATGATTCTGTGAGACAAGAAGGAAATGGTCAAAGTCACCACATGTAGTAAAACACCCTGACATGCTACAAAACCTATCTGAAACAGCACTGGTAAGAATACAGAAATATTGGAAATGCTATCAATCACATTTTCACCTAACACAAAGCTCCATGGAGGCTGACTTCATAAGAACATAAGAGAAGTCAATGTTGGATCAGGCCAATGGCCCATCCAGTCCAACACTCTGTCAAAAATACCAGGTGCCATCAGGAGGCCCAGCAGTGGGGCCAGGACACTAGAAGCCCTCCAACTGTTGCGCCCCCCCCCCCAAGCACCAAGAACACAGTGCATCACTTGCCCCAGACTGAGAGTTCCTATCTATAGCCACTGATGGAATTCTGCTCCATATGCTTATCTAATTCCCTCTTGAAGCTGTCCATGCTATTTTCCTGTCTTATTTTCTTTTAAGCTTTAAAAAGGCTCTGCACATGTATGCATGATTTGCTAACTGTGGGGGCTTGTATTTGCGAACTGAACCCCTTGCACACAAACCAGAGCCTCTAAACTGAAAGCACAATTGAATACCTGGGAAATATTTACAGCACTGACCCAAAGACATCCCTATAACAAACCAGTATTTTCGGAATATTATAACTAGTTACTTTGATGGCACACTGTATAGAATTTGGCTGTATCTACAGTCTTAATCTTATTCACCTCACATCATTGCTCCAAACCAAATCATTATTACCCTTTCAAAGGAGAACTTAAAATATAATGTGATCTCAATGAACCAATGGTCTGGGCTGGTAAGTGGTAACACAACCAGACTTACATCACAATAACATGAAATTCAACAATGCATGGCATTACATATATGAGCGCTCAAAGGGCTTCCCACATAACATCTGAGTAATCTTAACCTCATAAGGTAGGTTTAGAGACCAACTTAAGCAAATCTACTCAGAATCCTATGGAGGTGCATTCAATGCAGCTTACTTCCAGGAAAGTGTTCACTGCACTGGAAGTATCAATTATTTTCATGGTATTAGCTAAAACTGATAAGACCACTCAAGACCACCAGGAAACTTATAGTTAAGCTTGACTGAATAATGCATTTTCCAGTCAGTTTTAACAACGGTACTATATGTATGGAAAAGAACCACCAAAGATTAATGCTTCCGAAACAAAGGTTGCGCGATTTACTCACTCCTTCTATCTGGTGATTACATTTTTCAGAAAAACTTCATTATGTTTCTAACAATCAAGGAGCTGAAATCTAATGCCGTATTTGCAAGCAAGTGGGGGAGTTCCAGTTCCTGGAAGCACACCCGGAATATGAAAGATACCATCTGCAGGAACGTCTCCACCTTTACATTATAGAACCTCCAAATTAAAATTGCTCCAAGGCTTTCTTTTCAGAGCTCAGCTGACCAAATTCAAGGAACCTCAGTATGTCTTTGGAAAAATTAGTGATCATATGATTGAGGCATGTCAGTGAAAACGGTGGCTTAAAAACTGGTTAACTGTGGCGTTCAATTTACACATATATTAATAGGGGAAAGAAAACAGTCTCCTTATGAGTAATATTACAGTCATTTCATGCATAAAATCTGTCTTTAGTTTTAAAGAACTGAAATTTGGCTAGAACCTCCTGGAGGAAGATAACGGGATGGATCCAACCAGCTTTTCCACTGGCAGAAAAGGGAGGAGGGGGACCCCTCTGACCACCCAAAATGGTTCTGCTGGGGAGCATGGGACCTGCACTGACAATAGCCATGTGGGAAAGGGGTTGTAGTAAGGAGGAGAACTGGTGAGATTGATTGTAAAAAGCTGCCTGGATCCAACCTGTAACATTAAATTATTTAAAGATGGTACATCGATTTAAGACAAAGGCTGATAGAAAGCACACCTGATACTGGAACAGAGATGATGGGCTGATTTTTATCAGGTTCAGAAACTATTTCTTCTGAGACAGTTTGCATATCCTGATGTGATTTAAGAACTTGATTGGTAAGAAAAAGACGAGATCAAGATCAATCAGCAGAAGAATAAAACAATCTATTGCTCATCAAAGGAAAGATATTAGTGAGGTAAAGATTACAGAATCTGGCCTTAAGAAAACAAAACTGAACATAGCAAAAACATTCTGCTGGTCATTTTGCATTCAACTATCAGAAAGTATCTTGAAGTAAGTTATCTTAGAGGAAAACAAATTACAAGAGTTTCAGAGGTGTAAAAACAGTGAAGTAAAAGTTTATATTAGTTTTTTTTACCAGGATCTGTATTTGTGCTAGCATCTTGAAGATCTGTGGGCCTTTTCCTTACAGAAGCCAAGTAATTTACTGAAGAAATAACTGCCTCTGGGTCTAAAATAGGAAAAAATATAATTATTATCCACATCGAAGAAAAGAAGAAGAGTTGGATTTATACTCTTGCCCTTCACTCGGAGTCTCAGAGTGGCTTACAATCTCCTTCCCTTCCTGTCTTCATAACGGACACCATGTGAGGCAGGTGGGGCTAAGAGAGCTCTGAAAGAACTGCTCTTGAGAGAACAGCTCACAGAGAACAGTGACTGACCCAAGGTCACCCAGCTGGCTTCATGTGCAGGAGTGGGGAATCAAACTCGGTTCTCCAGATTAGAGTCCACCGCTCTTAACCACTACACCAAACTGGACTAAATAATAAAATTATTCAATGATTGCTAAGTACATTCCTTTAGCTGTAACTCAGGGATGTGGGATGGTATGGTATAGCCGGATCTTGGAATTTGGGTCAGTAGTTGGAAGGGAGACCACCAAGGAAGACTTTGCAGAGGCAGGCAGTGGCAAACCACTTCTGCTTAATCACTTGCCTTGAAAACTCTATGGGGTCACCATCAGTCAGCTACGACTTAACGGAACTTTGCACACACAGCTGTACTGCTGTACTTGTCTCTCTAATATTCAACAGGTAGTTTGCAAAGTATTTGTCCAAACTGAGACTGCATTTAAGATGTCCCATACTTATTTGTTTATTTGCTTCATGTGTACCCCCCCCTTGCTCCCAAATGGGGACCCAAAGTGGCTTACATTCTTCTCCTCTCCTCTGTTTTACCTGCACAACCCCCCCCCCCCCTCTGAGGTAGGCTAGGCTGAGAGCTCACTCAGTAAGCTTCCACGACAGAGTGGGGATCTGAACCCGGCCTTCCCAGATCCTAGTCTGGTACTCTAACCAGCACACTACACCGGCTCAGATAATCTGACGGTGATTTAAACGAACAAAGCAAATCAGCACTAAAGGCTTAGTTAAAGATCAAATGGGAAAAGAAAGGTTTTCAACACTGACATGCCATCCGAGTAAACTGTTTAGAATGTTATCATGAAGCCAAAGTTGCTCTCCTGTAGCAAATTCACTGAAGCTAAAGCAGATCAGTTTCCTGAATGCCTGGCAGGCTACTGCTACTATACAAATGATTATTGTGATTGAAACCCATTTGATTTGCAAAGCACTGAATCAAACTCAGTGTTCTTATTCTCACAATAATCCTGCAAAATTGGTCAGTATATCCCCCCACCATACAGGTAAGGAACTAAGGCTGAAACCAGCAATTTTCAGCACAGTGAGCCCAGGACAGAGAACAGACTCCGAGCTCACGGCTCCAACAATCTGTTCCCAGTATTTTTCATCCACTATACTGGCTATGACTGGAACTACTGATGATTATCAGATTGCCTTGGACAAGGATGGGTCTTTCATTTTTGAAGTAATCTTGCTGAAATACTCACCCAGCAAGTGGTCACCATCATTAAGGTCATAGTTGGATTCCACTTGGTCATCCTAACATGAAAATAAACACGCCTAAATAAATGGAGTTGATCAATAGCTCCTAATGTAGTATTATTTAAGTATAGTAAAGGTGCAAATAATCATGCCTTAGCTTTAAAGGGATACAAACTTTAAATATACAGTGTCCTTTAAAGAACTAATCCGGAAATAAGAGCTAAAGCTTCCTGTAACATTTTTATAATCCATGTTACTAAATTTAATTTGCTACTTTGATCCTCATCATCATTTGGGGGGAAACGACAGAGGCTTATCAGTCTGCATAATTTACAATAGGGGTGGCAAACGTAAGGCCCATGGGCTGGAACCCGCCCATCTAGGGCTCTTATTCAGCCGGTGATCAACTAGTCATTAACTTTATTGCCAAATGACAGAGGCTGCACATTATGTCCCTGTCCCAGGGCTAATGAGTAAAGGGTGGTGGAAGTGGGAGGGTGGGCATGAGGGAGTTATTTTAATGTTTTAAGCATGTTCGTATTCTGAGTAAAAAATAATATCATTAATTGAGTTGTCTGTGTCCTCTATAAAGTTTCTATCTCCTGTACCTGGCATTACATCTTATGGCACACATGGTCCGGCCTGACAAAGTGATATTTATGTCAGATCTGGCCCTCGTAACAAATGAGTCTGACACCTCTGATTTAGAATATCTGAACCACGTTATGCTGGAAGATCCTGGAACAGACCTTCCAGCACTTAAAAGGAGGAGGGGGAAACAGCTGCCGGGGTGTTGGTGGTTCAATTTCGATCAGAACTGCAGGCGGGAGGGTTAATCCATTACCCCCTATGCCAATCTGACTGGTCAAAACTGATCTTTCTCCCCCAGTCCATTATTAGTCTTGGAAGGGGGGAGATGACAAAGGGATCAACCCGAAGGTGGCAGTTTTGATCCACAAAGCAATGTAGGGGAAGGGTCACATCCACACGCGCTCTCCTGCCTTGTGGCTCTGACCCAATTCAGGGCTCTACATACTTTAAGGCTGGGGGTATCAATTCATGAATGTCCCACCGTCATACCAGTTTGGCACACAAATCAAAGAGTCGCGTTATGGCATACTGTAGTATGCATTAGCTGTGCTGGCCTGTTCTTATGCCCTCCCTTGCCTCCTACAGGTTCACTACAGGCAGGCAGTCTACTGTGAAAAGCTATATTGGGCACAGTGATAAGAAGGCAGCTATAAAGCTGAGCAAGAAAAAGGCACAGGAAGTAAGGAGATGTTAAAGGGAGGACATCTGGCATTAATGCCGAAATACTGGAGACTACAGATGTTCTAAGTGGAGGGTGAAAAGGCCTAGCTGTTCAGTGTTTTTGAACAACATCACGACTTTAAAACAAACAACAAACAACAAGATGATTATGAATAAGCATCTGCATAGCACCATACCTTTGTCTTCTCTACAACGCCAGGCAGAACAATGGAATCATCTTGTTGAAAAGTCACAGTTACTTTCTTCCTTTCTTCTTTCTCCTTCATCTGTTTCTTGACACGCCTCCTTTGCCTATCAGCATTATTAACATTATAACGACATTTTGATTTAAAGAGACTCTCTCGATTATATGGCTACTAAGAGTTTACTACACAGAACAGAAAACCTTTTTTGGCATAACACAGATAAACCAGAACAAAGGCAAAATTTAAGGGATAGTACTAAAACAACGTCAACCAATATTCCCAATATCTCAAAATACAAAGCAATCCTAACATGGTTTACGAGATTTACAAAGTACTACTCTTGACTTCCATACATAAGTAAAAAATTCAGCGACAGATAGTGTTATTGCTGGACTCTTGTCTGCTAGAAAGAAATTTAAACCCCTATCCAGAAAATCGCTAAGAGTTAAAATTACTCTAACATGTAGGATCTGCCAATAAGGAAATGAGGAGGCTTCCACCACATATGAGTCCACAGCCTTGTGACTCTGAAACTCAATCACCACCAAGCTATCTCCTGACAGGTGAGGCCAATCTTTCCTTTTCGGCCCCCAAGCCAGGAAGAAAACAAACCAGTTTTTGGCCTGTCTGGATGTCTTCCATCTGCCCCTCTTAAAAGCATGGAAGGGGACACGGGCACATGCTCTTATACACACTCAGATTGCTTTCTTTGTACATGCTTATGTTACCAGATGGTGGCTAAAAGGACCTCTGCAAATTGCTTCCCATGCACAGCAGGTTATACATGTGGAGTATAGTCTTTCTGGGTCCATCTCTCCCCCTCCCCACATCTTCTTGAAGGGAAACAAAACCTCTAGGTTTAAGAGTCCCTTTTAAAATAAAGGACATTAAACAGAAACAAAATTGAAACTCAGCTTGGCCTGCTGAAGTGAAAAAGATGGATGTACCAACTGGCAACAGACCAGAACTGGCACTGTTTTTAGATCACCCCAACTGGCTGAGAAAAGTTACATTCACTCCGCACCTTATAATCAGTGCCAAACTATAGATTACTGGTGCAATTTAGATCACCGTTGCAGTGCTGGGGGAAGGGTATTTTTTAAAACTGTTTTCCCCCTACACCATTTTCCTGAGAACGCTGCCATTCCAGGTTGCTATTAGCCCCAGCAGAGGAAAAAGGACAGGCAAAGTCGCTTCACCCTCCCCCATTCTCAGTGTTGCTGTCCTGATCTACTATCAGGGTCTTGTGGCTGCTTTTCAATGCTAAATTACTCATTAGGAAATCCAAACACAGATTCCCAGCATAAGACATCACGCCTAGTTACAGTACCATGTAATATGCCGTTTGTCCTTCAGTTTACTGGTATGCCCCTTTTCTGACTGTGGGGAGTGCACTGAAATTGACATTATGGAGCTTCTGCCTTTCAGCAGGTACAATCACAAACTGTTTGGCCTTACCTTGTTTGATTATTCCTGTCTTCTCTTGCTTCAAAGCGTTTAATGTTCGCTTTTAGTAACTGGATCTGTTCAGGATGGTCTTTGTGTCCAATAAATGGGGCTTGACCAATCTGACGGCTTTGCTCAAATTCAATAAGGTTCTGAAGTGGGATGAGCTTTGGTGTTTGAAACTGTTAAGAGAGATGAAAGAGAACAAGATAGTGCTCTCATGCACCTTCTCCTTTTCCCCTCACCACCTTGTGATCTTTTCTAAACCTCCTTTACTACGGTTTTGGGTTGTGTGTTTGTTTTTTTAAATCACAGCAAAACCATGGCGGCTGCAATGTGGATGGGAAAGTCCACCCACATCAGTGCCATTTCCCCTGCCCATCCCCAATAGAGGCCACTCTTTCAGCACCTCTCGAGGGCTTTTCAGGGAGGATCAGGAATTGAGAAATTGTGAGAAACCTTTTCGTTTCAGATATATGCTTTCCCCCTTGTATCTCTGCAATGAAAGGGGCTAGAGAGTCTTCCTTTTTTTAAAAAAAAAAAATGATGACTGCCTGGAACACATAGGGGCTTAAAGACGGATTGATATAATACCACAAAACTGTAGCAATTTGTCAATAAACAGTTTTATAAAAACCCTGAAAAAAGTCCTTCAGTGGCACAGGGAGGGTGGGGGGGGGGGGGACTGGGGAAACCCATCATATGGAAGCCCTGTTGCCACTGTATTGAAACACCAGCTGCTGCAGCAATGAATAAACCCTGGGGACTTGCTGCCATACAAAAGACATTTAAGTGCAGAGCCTTCTCTCAGTGTAGAATGAGCCTTTTCCCCCCTGGGAAGGCTCTGCACTTAGCTGAGCAAAGCAGTAGGATATAACAAAACATTTGGAATGTAAAGTACAGGAAACAACCAAATTTACAAAGGGGTACTTAAAAAATATATTATTCACATCTAAACAAAAATACATTACCTTAGTGAGTGGAGGTACATTAGTATAGAGTAACGGTATTCCTTTTTGATGGAATCCATGTCTTTTGCTGTCAATTGAATAGGCCTTAAAGATGAAGGATATCTGCACTGTTGACGAGGCTTCAGACACAGTAAGGGGATCTGAGCAAGATTTCCACATGTCTTATGCAAGGAGATTTCATGGTCCACCAGTGGTTTCTCTGCCCTTAAATGTGCATGAGGAGGTTCTGAAGGTGTCACATTTCCCTTTTTGTCATATTCTGGCAGGTGCGGATGTCTGGAAGGCCCCTGGTCCATCACTTCTGGGCACTTGTTCCCCACGTCTTGTGCTCGCCCGATAACTTCAGGATCATAGTTCAATCTTAGGTATGCTGTTGACTCATTTTTGCGTGGGGGTGTCTGTGAACCCTGAGGATTCTCCACTAGAGGAGATGGACCCCAAGCTTCTCGGGGTTGTGGGAGTGGTCTTCTTAAAGCTTTTGGAAGTTTTACTGGGCAGATATTTAGTGAGTGCAACTGATAGTGTGGTTTAAGTTTGAGCAGAGGAAATCCATTTGCATTATTTAAGGGTTTCGCCAGTGGAATAAGCCTAGGGGGTTTTTTAGCATTAAGGGAAGCTGATAATAGAGGTAGTGGTCTGGGTGAGACCTGAAGGAGCAAGTCCTGAAATGGTGGAACCAGCCTTGTTCCAAAGGATCGGTTCTCTGGTAACCTTGCAGCATCACCAACGTGTGGGAGATTCTACATGGGAGAAAAGAATAAACACTATAATATTTGAGTGAGACACATGCTGCAGGTAAATTATGTCTAAAAACCCACATGATAGCTTTTCATTCTAAAAGGGCAAATCTTTACTTACCTGCACATTTTCACTGTCATTTTGATCAGGTAGAACCTTCTCTTCCTGAGGACTGGAGCGTTCCTTACTAGAATTTGAAGTGCTTTCTAGAGTGGGCATTTGTCTTTTTGAAGGACCATCTGCCGAGTGTTCTAGGGGACACCTCTCCGGGTCAGTCCCTGCGGTGTTTGAAACCTGGCTCCTTCCCAAATGAGATGGCTGTGACTGCTGCAAATGGTGTGACATGCCTGGCAGGCTGGCCATGGACGACCCCACCACTTGCATGAGGCTCATGAAGTTGATTTGCTGGAGCTAGAACAGAAACAAAAAAAATGGAGATTTGCTAAAACATGTCTTGGCTAAAATCGACACATAAAGTGGTACGTAAGTATCATGCTAAAACAGACAGCAGCAGAAATAGTTCCTTGCTCCACAGATTATCGTGTTCCTATTCTAATGTACTGTTTCTGGAAACCATACAAAAATTATTTAAGAAAATGAGAAGACGCAAAAAACCCTTTGAAGCGTTAATGCCTTTATTCAGGTATGATGAAATCAGCAGCTTAATAATACCCTGCATTGTTCTAAGTATCCCTAACTTTATTATAATGTCAAGACTACAGTTTTGGCATGTCTTACAAGTTAAGAACAGTGATTTCGGATTCAGAATTGCTACCCAGTGGTCAGTTATTTTTCTGAAGGCACATAATACAGATCCTAGACATGTTAAAGACCCTAGGAATGTTTACTCAGAAAAAAGATCCTTTGTTTTCAGTGGGCTTACTCCAAGCTAAGTGTGCACTGGATTATATCCTAAGTGATGACCAGGGAACCATATGGAAGCCTCTCTGAGGAAAAACGAGGTACAAGTGATTAATAAATAGAGAACAAAAAAATAATGGAAGCACTACTAAGGAAGGAATTGTCTTTTCTCTGGGGGTTCCGTCATCCTGGAAGCTCCACAGATTTTAGTGAACTATTCTATCAGAATCTACAAGCCTTGTATTTGTATCTGTTTTACTTTGTGCAACATTTTTACCTGGACCAGTTTAAACATTTCATCTTGAAGCATTTGCCTGACACTATCTGAAATGTTCAACGGCTGTGGCGTTGGGTCTGTTGAAGCAACTTCTTCTTTCTTCGAACCAATAGGATTGCTAGGATGAACACTTGACACAACAGTCAAAGATGGGTGATCTCTTGCATCAACTTCTTCTTTCTTTGAATCAACAGGATTACTAGAACAAACACTTGACACAACGGTGAAAGACGGCTGATCACCTGAGACGGAGATCTCTACACTGTAGACACAGGGAGACAAAGACTTATGACTAACTAAAAATGTTGGTGGGAAAACCCTCTCTTTTTCTTTAGATACATTTTACCCTACATACAATTTCCACCTTTTCTATTTATTTATTTACACAATTTATGCCCTGCCAAAACCTAGCCAGTTTATCTTATCTCTCTTATATACAGGGAGTTTTTCTCTCTCCCTCATTTCCCTTCATGCGATCATGAGGACAGATTAAGCTCTAACAGTTATGCTTCATGGCTTTGTATCTGGCTGATATTATATTGTACACATTGTAATTTGATTTTTAACACAACTCTTTATTTAATTTACATAATTTAACCTAAATAACCATTGTTAATTTATGAGAACTCAGTAATGTATTTGCATATTATGTATTACAGATTTCTTGAAGAAGCCAGCTGGTGAAACACACAGGGAATTTTAATTAATAAAACATATTTTTACTTTCCTTGCACCACTGGCCTTGGCTTTAGTTTTTATCTCAAGGCTGGGGTGACCAGCACCTCTTAAGGAAGTGTTAACTACCTCTGAAACCCAGTCAGCCAGCTAGCCCTCAAACTTCCAAGGATCCTGTCCACATCTTCAGACTGAACAAACTGAAAAGTATCCCAAACAACTGGACAAGGTGGCATCCTGGCACCATCTGACCCTGTCACTGTTAATGGAGAGTTCAAATAGGAATGGATGCAAGAGATTTTATCCGCAAAGTGGTCACAGAATCCCAAGCCTGTCTCTCAGTCTCAACATTATGTACACAGCCTGAAGACAGTCACTTGTTAAAATGAAATAGCATGTACTTGGCCAAATGTTCGGCTCTGATTGGTAGCTTGTAACTTACAAAGCACACTGCTAGTATATTTTACTCCCTGAAAATATAAGCAATATGACAGCCAGTCAACCGACTGCCTACTAGATTATCTGCACCTTTCATCAACCACTGTGAAAATACAGAAAAGTAATCTTCATTTGTATTATTTTTATTCCACTATTTCTACAAGGAGTTCAAGGCAATGAATATGGCTCTGCCCTCTGCCATTTTATCCTCATAACAATCCTATGGGGAACAGTCAGCTAAAAGAAGGTGACTGTCCCAAGGTCATTCAGTGAGAGTAAGGATTTGAGCCAAAGTCTCCCCGGTCCTACCCTGGTGAATTGGATGCCATACAGCAGCATGTGGACAGCATGGAAGCCTCCCCAATATAAATATCACTGACAATGAAAAGCAAGTTCTGAGCATGAATCCCAACAAATCCAGACTCAAAATGATTATTTACAAGCAGCGAACCAGTGAGGTGACCCACAAGGACTCATTGGGGGGGGGGGGACCGCATCCTCCCCCAGCTGATCTTCACCAATCCATCCTTCCCATCCCATCACAGCCCCCCAAATTTTGCTCCTTTTCCAGGTTTTTTCCCTCCCATGTACCTGCCAGTTTTCCTCCATCCTTCCTTCCATCCACCCTTCTCTTTGTTTTTTCCTTGCCTTATCGTGCCTGCCTGACTTTTCCCAATTCACCTCCAGTGTTGAAGTGAAGCTGCAGTGGCCATTTTGGATTACCAGAACTGTAAACGCAGTTGAAAATGGCTACCAAGATCTCATGAGGAAATCTGTCTCTACTGTTTTACAATTTTAAGATTTTTCTGCAACCCTAGGCGTTTTCCCCAAGTTTGCAGAAAGATCTCCCCCCTTTGCACATGGCCCAGTTACGTGGATTTAATGATTTATTTATTTATTTATTATTTAAATTTATACCCCGCCCTTCCCCGTAGGGAGAATTAGACATAACCATATTGCAAACTGGCTTTGTACAATAAATACATGGTCATAAGTTTTAATTAAATCGGAAAATTCTGATATACATAGATAGTACCTGACAGTGGACGCATGCTTTTCAAGAGACAAACATATCATTGTTAACCGGACCTCATCTGATCATATGAAATGGCTACCAGACTGCATTAAAGACATAAATAAGATCAACAGTTTCATTTACCTTGGAGTTTCTGCCTTCCTTTCAGGAACGAATGAACAAGGATTGTCACTGAGAACTGTACCATGTGTAGTACTTGAAATGAGAGAGAGATAAATGAGAAACTTTTTATCTTGATTTAAATATATTAATTATTTTAAGAATTCATTCTCCGTCACATTATGATGGCTTTTTAAATTACAAAGCAACACTGTTAACCTAGTTCACAACTGTTGGTTGTTTACATTTGGTCTCCATAGCCATTAGCAAATAACTCAAGCAGAAGCATTTGAATTACCGTACTCAAATTACTCACACAAATGCAAGATTAATACAGACACTTAAACTGAAGGAATTCAACAATTTAATTTGGCAAAAATAACAAAATACAAAGAAATGGAACTATTAAGAAATAATACTGCTGAATGAATGAGAGGAGAAACACAATAAACTGTAGTAAAGCAGCAGGACTGGCTGGTAGTTCTGCAAAATTCTGTCACTGTGCTATGAATACAATAAAGGGAGCACGTACGTCCTTACAGCCTTGCTAGTTCAGGCTGGCAGCATGTGCCAATAAAACGAAAAAAGGCAGTCTGAAATACCAACCCTCAGTACTCACTTTACCGACTGAAGCAAGAATAGAGATTGTCAGCAAATAGAAGGTAGAAATAAACATTTTGGTAATATTTTTTTTAAAATTGCTTAGAGAAGCATAGTTTCAAGAAGGAACTTTAAGATTAAGGATTTTTATATGAACTGGAACAAATGCATTTGTTGATTGATATTTATTTTCTCCCTAATGGGGACCTAAAGCGTCTTATGATATTGTTCTCTCCTCAATTTTATCACAAAAACAACCCTGTGAAGTAGTTTTCAGTGAGAAAAACTGGCCCAGAGTCAGCCAGCAAGCTTCCCTGGGAGAGCTTTCCTGGATTTCTGCGATCCTAGTCTGACACTGTGATCACTACAACATCATGCTTGCCACTGGAATTAATGTTTCCATCCAAATATGTATATCTTGGAATTCTACCATTTTGAACAATAACATGGAGCTAATACACAATCCATTTGGATTTATTTATTTAGAACATTTTGATATTCCCTCTCCAGGAACTTGCCTGAGGTGTCTTACAAAATAAAAATAATAACACAGAGATATTAAAGTCCAACATTAAAAATGCCCCAGCCCAGCATTCAAAGGATCATAAAAATAGATCAGACATCTTAAAACAACGCTTTTAGCCTAAAATTGTGTTTTAAAATTCCTTTCTTAAGAGTTGAATGAATTAGCTGTTGTTAGATTGTCTATTAAAAATAATTTTTAAAAAAGATTGCCTAATTCTTTATTACTTAAAAACTTTCTTTGCATGGAGGCAAGGTTTAAAGGCACAGAGTTGTATCTGATCTCCTAATCTGCTTAGGTGACGGAAAGCCTTCTTTCCTCGGCTGGCCAAGGCAACCTGCAACTTTCACCCCACCACTTGCAAGAGATCTGTTTGAAAGCCACTTGTGTTGAGTCATCCAGGGATGAGATAGCTGTGCAATGGAGGGGGGGGGGATGGGGTACATCCAATTCAGTGTGCACACTGATTACAAAGCTTTTTCATGGGTCCCAAACTGGACGAACAGTAATGTAAAAAGAACCCCTTAGCTTCTAAGAACCAATGGCATAGTAAAAAGTTATCTTTTGTGCACTCTCAGAATTTTTTACCCCAAATGTCAAGTTTGTACTTTATGTAAAAACTGAATGAAGCTAATAAAGGCTAGATTGCCATTGCCTGCCCCTGTGTAACAACCCAAGACTTCCTTGGTGGTCTCCCATCCAAGTACTAACCAGGGCAAACCCTACTTAGCTTATGAGATCAGGCTAGCCTGGTCCACCCAGGTCAATGCTGTCATAAATTAGCCTATACAACATCACTGCCAAAACATGAATGCACATTTTCTCACCTATTTAGGTTGGTCGTTTTTCCTTCCCCTTCTAATGTTTCCCTTTCCATTTTTCCTTCCTCTTCCAATGTTTCCATCAATGGTTCTTCCTGTGGGCATTTGTCACTTGGAGAGGAAAGCTGCTTCAATAAAAATAAAGCATTTACATGTCTTCTTCTGTCTGTCACCCGCCTTGGGTCCCTATATTAGGGGGAAAGGCAGGCTTTCTAATATTTTAATTTTTGAAAATAGGATAGACTGTACACTGAACTCATTTGGCACTTGTGGATGCTCTCTAGACCCGGAAGAACAATCTTAGCCATCCCTGAAGTGCTGAACTTCTAAAGTGAACCAGCAGACAGGGGTGCACTTGAGCTCAACTTGCCATTGTTACGAGCCTGTTGCTAGCTGGATTAGTTTTCCCCTTTTGCCTCTGCATTGAAAATAGGTTGAGGTCCAAAAAGAATGACTGGTACCTCATTGGGTTTTCAGATGTATCTTTGGCTTTGTGGAAGTTCTCCACTTGGTGTCCAATAAGACATCCTCAAGTATTCCCCACACCTTTTTTGCACAGAAAAGGCCTTTGACTAGGCTAGCCTTTGATCCAACATCTACATTCCAGTGCTTCAAACAATTCTTCCTCTTAAACCTGTACAAAGAACGGTAAAATTAGAAGACCAGTCTGCCATGACAGCTGTCTCCTGAGCAGTGTTCCCTCTAAGCTGAGTTAATGTGAGCTAGCTCACAGTTTCTTAGCCTCCGCCTCACACATTTTGTCTTAGCTCAGGAAGGGTGGCTCCAAAGCAAACTAATTTATGCAGTAGCCAAATCACTTGCTCACAACTTTAATGCCAGCAGCTCACAAAGTAGGATTTTTGTTCACAAGGCTCCACAGCTTAGAGGGAGCATTGCTCCTGAGTTAGCACATTATGCCCCTATTCCAGGCATTTATTCCTGGGGATCCCTCTGCTATCAAGTCTTCAGCTCCAGTAATAATACTTCAGCAACCACTTAAAGCTCTAAAAAGGCCAATACTTTACCAGATTTTCTATGCACTGAATCCCTTGTAGAATCATTTGCAACCACAGTGACTAATGCCTTGAGTTCAGGGCTTCCCTTGCGTTATTTCACAAATGACGCTGGAATGGACTCCACTGTCTTTCTCTGACAATTTGTCAGGCTTTCTGGTTATTTATTTTTTTTAAAGGCCTGGAACAAGTACGATTGACAACTCCCTATTCCTGGTACTTTATCAGGAGATCTTTGACCCTGTTGAGGAGGCAATCCTATGCATCCTCTTCTCAGTCAGAAAGCTTTTATCAACAAGAGTGATTCACCAAGTGGCCTGGGGAACCATGAGGTCCCCTGACTAGGAACAACTGCCTGCACTGTTCTCCTCCCCTGATTTGTGGCATGCATTCTTTACACCTTGTTCGTAGGATGTCATCTTGACAGCAACTTGCCTTTTTTGGTTGAACTGTTTTAATGCTGACAGAAATGGTGGGACTCCTTGAAGCTGCAAACGGTTCTTCAGAGAACTCTATAAAATTAAAAGGCACTTAATCAGTGAGAGAAACTACATTCCTAAGGGGATGGATCCCTTCACCAGCCTTTCCCTCCTTGACACTGCTGATATATGCAGGGATGTATTGTCCTCAAAGTACATACTTAGGCCAGTGGCTCTTAAACTGATATATTAAGAATTATATTTAAAGTTGACCTGCTCTTTGCAGGCCTCCCATGTTTCTTGTTTCTTTCTCCAACATAGAATCATAGAGTTGGAAGGGACCTCCAGGGTCAGAGGAAAGCCTTCCAAATTAAAATTCTCCCACCATATTTGTCCTGTCTTGGGTGGTTGCAATCTAACAACAATATGTGTGCTCCCAAGCCAGAGTAATGCATACAGTAAAGAATTTCTTCCCAGTTTGCCCTGCTGTAAAGGCAAACTGCAAGTGAACAGCACACAGCCTTTTGCGCTTATGGCAGAAACTTCAAAATTTCCAGCTGTTTGACATTTTCAATTTCTATCATTCTTTCAAGAATCACACGAAAGTGCACCAGATTAACCATTTACGAACAACTGGATCAGGCTTTAAAGAGAAAAAACAGCTTAGGTGAGGTTAAATATATATTCTGCGGGAAACTGCTGATTCCTGTGAGATTCCAGCACCAGTTACAGGCATTTGTTAACAGGAGGCCATGATATTGAACTGAACATGTAAAGACTAATCTTAATTCCATGCATATCTGCATGGAGATTACTGAACATTCGTGTTTTATTTAATTTAAATAACCTTCGTTTTCAGATGTCACGTCTGCTTCATCTGATAAGCATCCTCCCACATCTATCAGATCATCATCAAAATATCTTCCTCCACTCTTTGTGTCATCTGTTACAGAATTATCCGTGAAATCAATTTCTTTCTTCTCGGGTTGCTTTTCATGTGAGGTCCTGAATGTTGCAAAATATCACAAAAATTACAGACTTCAAATCCTTTTTCCACATTACTATTATTTTTTTCCTGCTTTTCTCAACTCTTACACCAAAGTGAGCATTCAATTATTACCTTAAAGTACTTTCATAAGGTTCACAATATGTATTTCCGTCTTGGGCAAGAACTGGCGTTTCAGCTGATGGAGAATAGCCTGTATCCACACTACTTTCTTTCTCTAGTTTGAATGGAAAACCTGAAGAATGGGTACTTGCACATGGTTTCGTAGGATTCTGAAAAAACAGTCACATAAGGCTTGTGTGTTAAAAACATAACCCACAACAATACATCTTTTCGAAAGCTGCTACAGTATTGGCCTGCAGCACGTCAGCATATATTAACTACTGGAATGGGGTGCAATTCTAGCTCGCCTCCTTGTGGTACACCTGGATAATGCTAAAGAATTGGAACTTCTGGCTGCCAGACAATTGTAGGATCTCCTGGCTACACTACACACATGGAAACAATCAACCAAGCAAACAGTCCTTCTCCAGACTACTTGACAAGGGGTATAGGAGACTGCATCTGAATAAGTCTAACAACTGGATCCTAGCAAGGAAGATCTACCTACTAAAGGAAGATTGTGTACACACAGCCAATGCTCGCCTGCAATTTGAGGGACATCTAATGTCATTGGCTGATAGTGATATCTTTAAGATCAAATGTGATTGATTTGCCCTCATCAAACTATTTAATTAGACTACATCTTAAATAATTTATCCTGAATATTAGTTTGCCAAATTCACAAGTTTTTCTTTTTTAAAAAGTCTGTCTCTGGGTAGTCACCCAATTGTTCTATTTGAGTGTATTACATTTGTTTGGAAAACAAATGCAACCAAGAAGTGCAAACAAAAGCTTATACTCAGAATTAAACTTTATGTTAAATGTGCCATTGGACTCAAACTTCGTTCAAATGCAACCAATGGCTTGCATTCCGCTGAAAATTTACTTTTGTGCCTTCCCACTCCCACTGCACCCCTATGCCCTCCACCCAAAGGCTACTCCTGGGGACTGGGACCCCCAGGAATAGCAGTGAGGTGAGAGTTGGAATTCTGACACAGGAAGGGAAAAACTGCAGCCCCCATGGAAATGATCACTGGGATCCAATCCAATATCCATTTTTTTCATCTGCGGGCCACTGGGATGCCTGGTCAACTTAGAAAAATTACACACCACGACTTCTCTTAAAGAAATACCATCGCCCTAGTCTCTCTCACTCAAGTCTTCAGAAACATCAAAATGCATCACAGAAAGAACTCCTGAATTCTTGGAATGTTTGTTACGTATATTTCCTAGCAACGGCTTTACAGGCAAGTTGATTATTTAACAGTCTGTTTTCCTTGGCACTCAGCCAAAGAGTAAACATGCTAAAAAACAACAACAAAAGTCTAGGATTGCTTTCACTAGAAACATCTTGAATCAGTGTCTTACTGTGCTAGAGCAGACCCAGCTATGATCTGTATCTAAAATAGGCTTATGAAAATGAAAAAGAAATATGGACATGCCGCTATTTACAAGGGTATAAGGTTATCCCACAGGTCATTTGTGGCTCTCCTTTTCACAAAGGAAGGTAGCTATTGTTGCTCTAGGCAGCCTAGCAAAATCCTAGCGACCGTGCCTTGGTTTCATTTCCTTCAGAACGCCACATATCCCGTCCAGCAGGAAGAGTTTCATACACTGAGGACACAAAAGGGATTCATTCCAGAAATTAGCTTTTCCTGTCAACAGGCCAAAGGGCATCTATATTGGAAAGTGATTCTGGCAGGTCAGAAGAGTATTGCTGCAAAGGCTGTAGAAAAGTGCATGATTACCTTTGTTTGACAGCAAGAAAATCTTAAGAGGATATTTTTCACATAAGGACCATAAAAAATTTCTGAGGGCATATTTCCGTCACATATATCTGAAACACTATTTGTTCCTTGCCCATCTCCTAATCGCATAATGGCAAACCCAGAGGTTAATAAGTGCTGGCTCTTATATAATGTTATATAGGTATAACTAGGGTGTGCAAAGAAAAAATATTTTGTATTATTTGGACTCGAGATTCTGTGATCGAAACATATTCAGTATACCCCAATATTCCCAAGTATCAAGATCTGTATGGATACCCTATCTGGGAAATATTCGGGATTCCCAAATATATTCAGCTCCATTATACCCTATGGGGCCATTGCAGTCAATGGCAAATCTCTCTTAGGTTATAGTCAGGTGCATGGGGGGGGGGAGGTTTGAGGTAGAGGCACCAAATTTGCCCTGTAGCTGCTACAGCTTCTCCCCAAAAGAACCACCAAGTCTCAAAAGGATTGGACCAGGAGGTCCAATTCTAGGGGCACCCAATGTGGATACCCCCATCCCACCATTGTTTCCAGTTTCCAGTTGCACAAGCCCAGCAGAGAAGAGATCCTCCCAGAGAATCTCTATAGTAGAAAGTGAAGGGTTTTTTGGTGGAGCGGTATTGTTTGCCAAGCCAGCAGCAGAACCAGTGCAATGTACCCAGCAGAACCATTGCCACTATGGCACTGCCAAGAAACCAACTGGACTAAGGTCAAATGTGAGAATCTCTGAGGTACAAATTGAAGAGTGGCAATTTTGCAAGGACAGCAGAAACAGTACACTGTACTAGTGGCCAGCAGCAGAACCCAACCAGTGCCACCCTACTAGTGCCAAGTGGCAGAACCAATCCTACTAGTGCCCAGCATCAGTATCCTTTGCCATTTTGGCAAAGGCCAGCCCCACAGAATCATAATCTGAGTGAGGGAGAGAATCTTCTGGGCTTATTGTGCTATTTTCCCCACCACTGAAAACAATGGTGTGATGGGGCACTCTCTTTCGCTCCTTCTTGGCACTGCCACGTTGTCACTGGCTTGTGTCGATGGGCACTAGTGCACTGCTTCTGCCATTCTTTCAACTCCCCCTCGCTTGGACTGTGATTCTGTGGCTGTGCTTGACATCAGAACTGCATAAATTCAGCTTGGCTTCTGCAGAATGCACATCCCAGGCGTAGCAACTGTTTTACAGCCAATATAAGGGAGCCTTTTGGAAGGCTGGCGAGGGAAAAGCTTTGGAACAATCATAGACTAAGCAGGGCATTCAGCCTTTAGTGGCCAACCTTTCTGCAACATTTATTTTCTACAATGATTGGATGTCTGTTCTCCTAAACTCATGGAACTTGGTGCACACATATCCCAGTTATGCCGCTTTCCTACTGGGGAAAAATATCACACATATGCAAACGGAAACAGTGACTGTACAGTGAAGAGGAAGGGGAGAGGTAGTATAAATACAAAAAGAATTAGAAAAACTTATTGCAGGATATATATTTTTTTTAAAGCCACAGAATCTTCATAGAGAGATTGACTGGTACAGTATGGAATAAGTAATGAACTACAAAGCTTCCACTGCTGCACAAAGGAAGAAGGGGACTGAACCTCATGGCCTTTCCAAAGTAGGTTACATATTCTCCAATGCATCCTTCAATGACAAACAGGAAGAGCGAATGCTTGCAAAGTGTTTGCTCTCCCATCAATGCTGCACTCCACAGTGATTAAGAAGTAACTGTGGTGCTTGTGTTGCACTATATGCATTTCTACATGGCTCTATTAACAAGAGAAATTACATTAAAAATGTGATTTGGAATGATAAAATTGCTGAGACAAGATGCTGTGTATACGTATGCATATTTGTATTTGTGCATTGAGACACACTAGCTGGGATCCAAAGACTTGCTTTAGGCATGCTAAGTAGGAGTTTTACTCCCCCTCCTTTGGACAGCAAACTGTTGTGCAACATCACATTTTGCTTTTAAAGTCTCAAAAACAGCTTCCATGTGGCACGAATGGCAACTATTCAAAGGAAACAAGTCCAAATAACTCCTGGACATGCAGATATGGGGTTCTTTAGATCCCAATTACTGTTAATTTTTCTAAGAACTATTAATCAGATGTGTCTTCATCTTTATACTGAGCTGCCTAAAATGAATAACTACATCAACTTGTGAGGTGGCATTAGAACTGGCAAACTAGCCTATTTGAAATATTTTTAAGATAAGCATATAAACAAGCGGAGGACCCTGCAAGAACTTGCAGGGGGGCATCTCATTTCCCCCTTTCCCCTCCTTAAAGCCCCCATAGCCTCTCCCCTTTTCCTGGTTCCTTCTCTTCTTCCCACCCCCCCACCCAACTGATCTTCATCTGCCCCCCTCCATCTTCAGCTTTCCTTCCTTCCCTCCCCCAGGACCCTCTGCCTGGGAAAACTATGGCACAGAAGTGCTCGGCTGGGCCCAGTTGTGCAGTGGGGAACCCACAAGCACTTGTAAGGGGGCATCTCTTTTTTCTCTTGTATCCCCTTCCCCAAACTATTTTCTCTTTCCTTCCTCCTGGCAACCCATGTATCCTCACTTTTCCCCGCTTCCTCCTCTCCTTCCTACCCAGAAACCAGCCTACCTTTTATCTGCCCCCTGTCTTCAGCTATATTATTTCATTTATATTCTGCCTTTCTCCACAGTGGGAACTCAAAGCAGCTTACATCAATCTCTTCTCCATTTTATCCCCACAACAAACCTGTGAAGTAAGTTAGGCTAAGAACCTGTAACTGCCCCTAGGTGAGCATCCACAGCAAAAAGATGACTCATACCAGTGTCTTCCAGATCCTAGGCTGAAACTCTAATCACTCCACCACACTGGTTTCATGCAGCGGCTGCTGTTGAACAGTAGCAAGCAGTGGGCCTGCCAGTGGCAGCAAGGCCTGGTCCTGATGAGTCCGCCCTCAAAGACCAGAACAGTCCTGGAAAAGGCCCTGCCCTCTCCCTTGTTTTTACTAAAAGAAACCAAGGCATTTATTTATTTATTTTAATTTTTGACATTTTTACCCCGCCCTCCCCACAAGCGGGCTCAGAGTGGCTTGTTGAAGGCTGCCAATACATTTGTGCTTGTTCCGCAATGGCCAGTATGAAGAAGAAGAGATTGGATTTATACCCCGCCCTTCACTTGGTGTCTCAGAGCGGCTTACAAACTCCTTTCCCTTCCCCTCCCCACAACAGCCACCCTGTGAGGTGGGTGGGGCTGAGAGAACTCTGACACAAACTGCTCTTTCAGGAACAGCTGTGCCAGAGCTTGTGACTGACCCAAGGTCACATCAGCAGGTGCAAGTGGAGGAGTGGGGAATCAAACCCGGTTCTCCCAGATTAGAGTCCGCTCACTTAACCACTACACCAAACTGGCTCTCTTGGGCATTTGTTTCTTAAAGCTACAGCACCGGCTTCTAAAATTTTGGAGAGATTAACACCCTAATGTATGTTTTTTAGATTTCAATTTTTCTGCAAACCTGGGGTGTTTTTCAGGTTTGTGGAAAGATCTGTCTCATCTGTTCATGGCTCCAGTCTCCAGATTTAAATATTCACAGATTTAGCTGTGTTGAGTATTAGATATACTAATTATGATATATTGAATGTCTGTTACTGTGTGTTACTCAAATGCAACTTACAAATGCCTCAAATAATAATGATTATAATATATAGTAAACTGGCTGGCTCCTGTTTAAATAACAAAAGTCACAAAACTAAGCCACCCATAGACTAGGTAGGGTTTCTAAGTATATCCAGAAAAATTAGTTTGTAAATTAACCAAAAGAAACTGCTCTGGAAAGAATGAATTGTTTATTTATTTGTTTGATTTATACCCCGCACACCCTGTGGAGAAAGGCTCAGGATGGAATTGTTGAGATCAGCTGAGACTAAGCTAAGATGGAAAAGGGCAAAAAGTTGAGAAAGAAACACCTGGGAACTTAGAGAATCCTGGAGGGAAAGACTGCTGGGTTGTGTGGGATTCCTCAGTGAGCCAGTCCATATATCTAATGGTAAATATAGTAGCCTCAGATCACAAAAGCAGCACAATAGGAACACATGCAAACAAGACAGAAGTTTCTACATATTCAGAGGAATTCCAAGGTATGCAGGAAAAAATGTAATTTGGTAAAAGTGACTCAAGGAAAAAGAAAGCCAAACCCCAGCCTGCTGAGAACAAAAGAGGCTCCAAGAGCACACAAGACTAATAGCAGCTACCCTGACCTGGATAGCCCAGGCAAGCCTGATCTCATCCAATCTCGAAAGGTAAGCAGGGCTAACCCTAGCAAGTATTTGGCCAGGAGGTCTCCAGAGAATACAAGGGCCAGGAGGCCAGAAACAGGCTATCAAGCCACTTCTCTGAACGTCCTCTGTGCCCCAGTAGGAGTCACCAGAGGACGCCATGACTTCCAGGCACGGGCACACGAACACACACACACACGCATACAAAAAATGCACCCCCCAAAAAAAAGACTGATAGCAGCTGAAAGTGGGCTGAAGACCCACTTTTGGGGGAAAGCCATGGCTCAGTGGTAGAGCATCTATTTGGCATGCAGTTCCCAGGTCCAATCCTTGGCATCGCCTGTTAAAAGAAGCAGGTAGTAGGTGATGTGAAAGACCTCTGCCTGAGGCCCTGGACAGCAACTGCATGTTCGAGTAATCAGTACTGACCTCGATGGACTGATTCAGTACAAGGCAGTTTCATGTATTCAAGAAAGGGGGAGGAAGAGGGAATCAGCCTGTTCAAATTCCTGAGAGCTTAGGAAGTCCTGGAGGGAGAGATTTTGGTTGATAGGGTAGGATTTCTGTGTATCCCCCACCCGATTCCTCATATGAACATACATATATATGACGCTGCCTTATACTGAATCAAGCCACCGGTCCATCAAGATTGCTAACGTTGACTGGTAGCAGCTCTCCAAGGTCTCCAGCAGGGGTCTTTCACATCACCCGCTACCTGATGCTTTTAATTAGAGTTAGTGGGGATTGAATCTGGGATTTTCTGAATGCCAAGCAGATGCTCTATCACTGAGCCACACCCCTACTCATAGTTTCCCATCTTCTGCTTCCTTATTTCCAAAATCATAGATCCAGAAAATAACTCAAAATGAAAGTACTTTCATCAATGCTTACCCCACAGTGAGCATTTCGATCTCGTGATTCACTGCTGTGCTGTTGTTCCAAAAGCCAGAATGACACAAGGATGGCGGATGCAGATGTTTTTACATGCATCATTGGTCGGCACTCCTGAAGTGGATCTGCTGAGATGTGATCATAAAGCAACTGCCTATCACACCATCTAATCATCCATTCGAGTAAGCGGGCAATATTGTCAAATTTATTATTTATTTCTGGCGAAAACTCCTCTCTTTGTATGTCATCTGTCACTCGAATGGCTTTGTAGATATATTTATGAACTGGAGGTGTTTGGATGGTAGGAGAAGCATGCTCAGACAAACGCTGAGTTAATACTGGTGTAAGAGTTATTCCTTTACTGGAATTGGCTCTATAAACTGACTGCGGGCTTAGGCCAAATAATCCTCTTTTCGCGGTGAGTCTCATCACTGAGTCATGGCCAGAAAGCTCAGCTGGTTGTTGAACGGAAGCAGGTAGAGAGTGTTTTTTAAATTCTTTTTTCTTTTCATCACACCAAGAAGCTGGTTTAGAATTACTAGGCTTCAAAATAAGGGAGTAAGAAGAACCAGCTCTAAAAACATTTTGGCTTTTAGTTCTATTCTGTCGACGTTTCAGTGTTGTGTGAACATCAAAGAGGAGGGAGTTCAATTCATGCTCCCTAAGGAGGGCTGAAAAGCTCTTCAGAAAAGGAACTGCTGAGTCCCTCTGACTAATGTGATCTCTTTCAAGCACATAAGTCAAAAAGAGGTCCAAGAACTTCATGTATTCATCATCATCACGTTCGAATTCCCACACACCAACCACCGGCAAAGTATGATGATCAGGGGGGGCTTTATTGATCTTTCTTTTACTTTCTGTTTCTTTCATATTGAGGTCTCTCAGCTTTTCAGGAGTGCTCTTATATCCTGTCAAATCCGATCCACAGTTACGTATTTCCCTGCAACGCAGCAAATCAAAACACAGGGTTTAAAAGCATGGCTGATTAAGAGACTATCCTCTGCCGTTCAGAAGCAACTAAGCCACACACTGACATGTTTTCTGCATTCAATTAGGCTTTTTCAATAGTTCAAAAAGTAGGTATCTGTTTTCACAGATGGCTCCCTTCCCTCCGAGGAGCCCACCCGGAGTTAACCCTCTGTAGCCCTGAATGGGTATATGAGTGAAACAAAAAACACTCTTCCAACATTCCAGAGAGAGGTCCGAGCTCCAAACAGCCCCTCCCCCACCTGCAGGAAGTACTTAGCTGAACAGTCTTGCTTTTGGACAAAGTTGGCCAACAGCTGCAGCCCAGAGGCAATGAAGCAATCATAAAAGTGTATTCTAAGGACAGACAGAGGGGGAAAGTGTATTCTAAGGATCTGGTCTAAGAACTCTGGCAACATTTCTAGCCAGTACCTACTCCTCCCTTGCGAAGTGTTGTAGCCTTCACAGATTTCGATGAATAAAGGCAGATCCCATTTGAGGGGTTCAGGAGCCAGAAGGTGCAGGGGGGGGGGATGAGAGTGGCTTGACCAAACAGAACTGGAGGGCGATATGAGGATTTTCCTGCCACAAAGTCCAAGCCAGAGAGAGGTGTCTCATGGCTTTGTGAGTTTGCATTCAGCACATTTATTGTACAGTATAAAACTTGTGTAAGGAGTGCACAAGATGTCAAATGGCCAACTGAACCTTGATGGACCATTTAATCAAAAATACCTGTACCTATTGTCTGGTTGTGGGATTGCCCATTAAGAGTTCTTGAGAAGTATTCTAAATGTTAGGTCCTGGGGGTGGGGGGTTAATGCACAACTCAGTGAGTGAAACGCACCTTGTGGGCTCCCCACAATATGGTATTTCATTTACCTATAGGAAGGAGGGAGGTTCTTCTCCTTTACAGCTAGAAACTCCTACATTAAACTAGTCCTGCACTGAACAAATGACGACTTTCAAATTTAATACAAACTTTGCAGGGAAGCACAAAGCAAGAGAATAAATACATGCTTTCTGGAATTCATTATATGGAATTCTTGATTTGATTTTTAAAATAATGTAATTTCAGAAAAGACATGTATTATTAAATACACTTCATTGTATTTTTTTCAAGCAAAGAAAATAAATAGTCTTCTTTGAAAGGGGCCTGGCATCAGACTCCTTTCAGTGTGGTGGTGCTCTCCCTTCTGGGGTTACACATAATCTCCAAGTGCTGGTTTATCTGAGGGGGAGCAGAACCCTTAAATGGGGCTTGCCGAGTCGCACGAGATTGTCCTAAAGTGGCTACTTTAGAATAAATAAAGTGATGGAAGCCAGAACTAGGCTACATTAAGAAATATTACGAACTTTTACCTGTACTCTTCCTGCATCTGTGAAGGGGTACTCTTTCTTGTTCCGTCCATCAGCAACGCTTCAGAGACTGAGTCTCCTGTTTCAGCATCACTGTAAACCTGAGGGTTCCCCAGGTCAGAGACTGTGCTTCTGCTGAGGCTAGTTCCCAGAGAGAATCCATCATAGCAGCAAGTTCCAAGTTCTTGGTTCTCCTCTTCCGGTGGCTCCCAGATATTTCTTTGATTTGGCCCTATATTCCTTATCACACGCTTTAATGTTTTCAGATTCACTTTATGAGCAGCCTCTATTACGGCAGACATCATTTTTTCACTGTTGGGGCCTGGCCATAAAGACACATAGAGGATTTGTAGTCACTATTTCTACAGAGCCTGTATTAATCAGCCATCATACCTGACTGCATGGTAACAATCTCAGCATCAGTTTCAAATGCATCAGATGCACAATGCCAGTCCACATGCATTTATTTACTTAATTTATATTACCATTTTAGACCAAGAAAATATAGTCCATCACAACCAGATTTTTCATTTTAGAAGCAAAGGCCATATCTTGGTCAATACTGTAATACTTCCAATTGCCAAGGAAAGCTTATTTTGTAGAAAATGCTAGACTGCTATCAGTTCACATTGTGCTTCTTTCAGCATCACGTGTGTTACCTTTGACTACACAGTGTCTAAGTCGCTGGTGCAGACCATTATATTTATCCCTTAATGGGACTCTTACATCTTCACGGTTAGGAAATGCTTTCACCAAAATTTCTGCCACCTGTACAGAAACATAAATTTTGAGGTCACTTTTATGGGGAAATTATTTTAACAAGAATAACTATTAACATGAAAAGGAAAATATAAGGAAGATAAACTAATGATCTTTACCTTCTAAATAAGCCTTACCTTTTGGATTGGTGGCAATTCTCCAGTGAGACTCAGAATGATATCCTGGATAAGTTCTTCAGCATTCATGAACCTAGCAAAAGGAAGCATTCGGCAAGCCCATTCCAATGCATTCAGACAGCACTCAACTACGCAGGCATCAAATTCAGGAGTTCTGCTTTCCTAAAAAGACAAGGCACCAGGTAAGTGGTCTAAGATTTGATATAAAGTTTGGTAGTCTTACAGTGTAATCCAATTCAGAATTACTCCAGTTTGGAGTAACTGTACATAGGACTGCACTGTAAGTCTCAAAACATATGTCAAAGCAGATCCATATGTTTGAACCTGAGTCTGCCCCAATCAAGTATACAATGGAGGGTTGGGAGCCCAACATAAGAGCAAAAGGTGTACATGGATGAGGAGGGCTGAATTCTCTCCCCACAGTCAGCTGCCCCTCCTTACTTCCCTGCAGCTCATTCCCTAGCTGGGGTCCAATACTGGAAGTCAGACCAGCTAGGAAAGAATTGACAGGGGGGGGGGGGAACTGGGAGAGGAAAGCAGCACTTCCATTAGCGGTTAACCGTTGAACTAGTAACTCAAAGGCCCACATTTAAACCCCGATCCTGCCACGGAAGCTGGATGGGTGACACTGGGCCAGTCACACTTTCTCAGCCTAACCTACTTCACAGGGTTCTTGTGAGGATAAGATGGAGGGAAGGAGAATGATATAAGCCACTTTGGGTCCCCATGGAGGAGAAAGGTGAGGTGTAAATGAATTAAATAAATAAATCTCTTATGCTCTAAGAACCAGATTCTCCCCTCTCCATACAAGATAGTGGCATAAATCGGTCACCCACTGTCGTGTGTAGGTTGAACTTTGGCATTTACTAGTATTGTAAGATGACTGAGGAATTGAAATACTGTATCAGACTTTATAGGATAAAATTTCTATACCATCATCATTACTTTCTGATTTTCTGAATTCTCTCTTGCAGTTTGGTACCGTCTGCAACTATCCGACAACCTTTCACGAACGTGAAGCATCCAACACAATGCACACAACTCCCTAAAGCACTCTGGGAAAGAAAGGCAGACACACAAAATTTTCATCAAGCCAGTAAACAGGAATATAAAACAGAAATTTCAGTTTTTCATACCTTTTCATTTAAAATCTGAATTCTGCTGTTGATTTTTTTTAATGAATGGTATTGGTTTATCCAGATTCCTATGGTACCATGCTTCAAGAAATCTCAAATAGGGTTCAGTTTTTAAGAAAATATACTATTAATCCTAACTTCACACACTACAGATTTTCCTACAGCAAAATAGAATTAGTACACAGAAAGAAGTAAAGTAATTAACAGTGTAATCCTGAACAGAGTTACATTTCTCTAAGCCCCATTGACTTTGCTGGCTTTAAAACCATGCAACTCTGCTTAGTGTGGCACTATGAATTGTTTATTATAGATTCCACACACATGAATTAATCATACCCTGTTCCCAGAGGTAAATACGAGGTAAAATAATGCAACCAGTCCTCTGCTATAGTTCATAATTTGTGTTTAAAGATAATATTGCATCTGAATACATTTCATAAGGGGGGGATCTTTTTGTCAACAAAATTTATGTTGATCAGATTATGTTCACTTTGGGGGTGTCTACAAAAAGCTTTCTAACCCCCTGGCTTCTCAGTCGTGCTTTACATAATTATTGCCACAGAGAAATTCTTGATTTCCTTAGGGCACTGAGCTGGTAGTGCTCATCATGTGTGACTCCCCTTACAGGTACACTGAATGTTCCCAATTCCATTATTTGAAGGGCTCAAAATACAAAGCACTGGGGCTGAGAATCTGATTCTTCATTTGCATCTAACACATTATTTTTCACAATACAATACCCAGCATAACAATCAAAAGTCACAGCAAAACAAAGATAGTTCTCTATAATACGCCGTCAGTAAAACAGCACGGAGCTGGGACAACTTGTAGCTCCTTGGCTAGACTAGCAGACATTACTCTTAAAATAAAATTTCAGAAATTATGTTACAGGACAGATTTCATCCCTCCAACTTCATCTCTTGACTCACTTCTCTTTCTTCCATTAAAAATACAAACCTATTGTCCTACATGAAATAACATCAAACCCGCTGTCTCCAGATGATGTAGGTTTAAAGAATACTGTATGAGATTTAGAATAATTAAGCAAATTTTCAGGAAGATTATTTAACAATGGAAGAGCTCCTTTCTTGCGAATCTGAAAGTGTGGAAGGAAAAAGAAAAGGTAGAGAGGACAATTTAGTACATGATGTTAGAACATCTACTCCTAGATACTTTCACTAGAGGCCTCACTCCCCTTCTTTTCACAATGCAATCCCAAACAGAGTTACATCCTTCTAAATCAACTGACATCAGTGAACACAGACATGTGTAACTCTGTTCTCCAGATGATGTAGGTTTAAAGAATACTGTATGAGATTTAGAATAATTAAGCAAATTTTCAGGAAGATTATTTAACAATGGAAGAGCTCCTTTCTTGCGAATCTGAAAGTGTGGAAGGAAAAAGAAAAGGTAGAGAGGACAATTTAGTACATGATGTTAGAACATCTACTCCTAGATACTTTCACTAGAGGCCTCACTCCCCTTCTTTTCACAATGCAATCCCAAACAGAGTTACATCCTTCTAAATCAACTGACATCAGTGAACACAGACATGTGTAACTCTGTTCAGGACTGTACTGGAAATCTGCTTCCGACTGGGACCCCAAGTTGCAAGCCTGTGATAGGCAGTCTCAAGGCAGTCATGAGTTATGATTTCACCAGTTTCAAGGCCAGGATAATGAACAACACGAACAACAGATCAAGAGAGCCAGACACAGGAAACACAAGCCGAGCATCAGGAGATGTGTATCGTAGTGTGGAACAAGCCAGGGGTCAGAGCAATGGAGTTATCCCTCTCTACTGCTGAGATCCCAAAAGTGTGTATGCGTGGAAGTCAGGAAAAGAGGTTTGGTGCCTTTGTTACCTTGCAAATACACATATCCTTTTAAAAAGTAACAAAATATATCTGCTCTAGAGGGGACTGTAATCCAGCAGGTGGGACTCCACAATCTAACTGTGGGCCCAGACTCATGGATTGAAGACTATCGGCACAAGGAACACAACAGCAGATACAGCCAGTATTTCCTATGTAAGACATACTTCTTTCTTCCCCTTCTTTTGAAACCATAAGGTCACTTGGGGAAGGGGAGCACAGTCCTCATTTTGAAAGGCAGAATTCAGCAGCAATCTTAAACCCACTAGGAAAGCACTGACTTTAAAATATTCTCAAAGTATATACTATATTAAAGTATACACTTTTTATCACATTAGATTATGGATCTAATAGAGATTTAATAGGGTCTATAAATAACTGCTTCTTTTAATATATTCAGCTTCATTTTGGATTTCTGCATTTTTAAAATTGGACACTATTCTGTACTTTGATACTATTATTTTCCCTTATTATTGATAACCACCTAAATGCTGTTTAAGCAAAAAGCCTGGAAAGATCTTCCAAATAAATAACAGGAGCTGAGGTTGTAAGAAAAGCAGGATAGCCTCCCCTCCCTCCCCACCACACAGACATGATTTCCGAATGTTTAGAATTATGCTTCAAAATCAAGTTAAATCAAGCGAGTGCTCATCTCTGCTCCAGTTGTAACTGGAGCATACTATACATTTCTGACTTTTAAAATGTTACTTTCAGTAAGGTGGCATCAACATGGGTAAAATCGAGAGCAGTTTAATTAGCATACCTTTTGCATTATTTTTCGGGCCCGTTTCAGTTGAACGATATACCACTGAGCAGCAGGGAAAGAACAATGAGCAGCCCGGAAAAGGAGAAGAATTCGTTGAACCACCCCGGAAACCTTCTGCCGACATTCTCTTTCTATTTTTAGTGGCAAATCGGTGTATTCTTCCTGAATGTTGCAAAATTTAAAAGGTAGAAAGTATGACAGTTCACGGAGAAATACGTGCATGCTGTGCAGATTCTTCACCGCAATCTGCGTACACTGATGTACTTCCTGATCTCCTGCCTTAGCCGGTGTCACAATTTCATTCTGCAAAACTAACTATGCTAAACGATCACAGGTGCCGTCTTAGACAGGGGAGCTTCGCGTGCCCATCTGAGTTCCTGTGCTGGATCACAGCATCTCTCTGAAGCCCACTCTGACACCAGGACAGGCATGCAAAACATTAAGTAAATGGGGGGGTTACTCACTCTGGCCCTTCTTATACTACCGAAATGAAGAGTTAAAGGTATTTCAGAAGGAAAACTAACACAAAATGCATTGTAAAATAAGCAACACAAAAAATGTTTTGTGCTTAACTTTGCCCAGATCTTTAAAAAATGCATCCCTCTTTAAAGGCTGATCTTAAAAAAAAATTAATCAGCCTTCATATAATTGATATAAAATTAAGCAGCTAGGCCCACAAATATATTTCTCTGTTCTTCAGAAAAATCAAAATATTTAATATTGGGGAAAATAAAAGATAAGAAGTTTCAAACTATGCCAGTTAGCAACATCAGTGTTTGCAATTCCTTCTACACAAATAAGTGTATAAACAGGTTGTTTTCTCGCTGGCTTTAAATCCACTCTCTCTTTATACACCCTTAACCACCTCTTATCATGTACCTTTTCATTTTTATTTTGAAGCATCAAACTCAAATCATCCATTTGTGCTAACTCTAGTAATTTAAGTGTTAGTTCTTCCCTAGAAGGTATTATGTCAGATTTCCAATTTTTTGCCAGTAACAAACGAGCAGCGGTTATTATATGGGATAGTAAGTATGATTCTTGTACATTGTATCCATTCGGAATTATATTCAACAAATATATTCCGGGTTTTAATGCTAGGTTTTTTTCTAAAATTTCTTGCATTATCTTCCGCACCATTTTCCAATATCCTTGTATTTTACTACATTTCCACCACATATGATAAAAGGTCCCCATATTCACTTTGCACTTCCAGCATTGGTTGGAATATCCAGAATAACATTTAGCTATTTTGTCCGGGGACCAATACCATCTGTGGAACATTTTATATACATTTTCTTTGTATGAAATGGCTCTCATACATTTAACAGATTTCTAAATTGTATAAATGGATAGGTTTCCAAATTGTATAAATGGATAGAAGTTTTAACAATTGTTTAAGACTCTATTTTATATGTAAGATGTAAAGTTCGAATGTAAGATTTGTAAAACTGAAAATAAAAAGTAAAAAAAAATAAAAAATAAAATACACTCTCTCAATCAACTAGGACTGAGAACTCTCAAGAATGCGATATTACTGGGGGTAAATAATATTTTTAGATATTGTTCTCTCAGTATCTCTTACTTTCAATTACATAGTTAATGTCTGAGCTTTCCTTTTTTTCTTTGTAAAATTCATTTAAAATTCAAAAATTAACAATTTAAAGTAATACGCATTTTTCCTCAAGTGAAATAGCTAGTGTAACATTTCATGTAAGAGTTTAATTTTATTCCGAAGTAGATATTCGAGCCAGACATCCTGGAATGTGAAGTTAAATGGGCCTTAGAAAGCATTGCTAACAACAAAGCTAGTGGAGGTGATGGTATTCCAGCTGAGCTATTCAAAGTCTTAGAAGATGATGCTGTTAAAGTGCTGCACTCCATTTGCCAGCAAATTTGGAAAACGCAACAGTGGCCACAGGATTGGAAAAGATCAGTATACATTCCAATCCCAAAGAAGGGCAACGCCAAGGAATGTTCAAACTATCGCACAATTGCACTCATATCACACGCTAGCAAGGTCATGCTCAAGATCCTACAAGCTAGGCTTCAACAGTACGTGGATAGAGAACTACCAGAAGTACAAGCTGGGTTTCGAAGAGGTAGAGGAACTAGAGATCAAATTGCCAACATTCGCTGGATTATGGAGAAAGCAAGAGAGTACCAGAAAAATATCTACTTCTGCTTCATTGACTATGCTAAAGCTTTTGACTGTGTGGATCACAACAAACTATGGCAGGTCCTTAAAGAGATGGGAGTACCAGACCACCTCACATGTCTCTTGAGAAACCTGTATAAGGGCCAAGAAGCGACAGTTAGAACCGGATATGGAACAACTGATTGGTTCAGCATAGGAAAAGGAGTACGACAAGGATGTATATTGTCACCTTGCTTATTTAATATATATGCAGAGTACATCATGCGAAATGCTGGCCTGGATGAATCACAAGCGGGAATTAAGATTGCTGGGGAAAAGATCAACAACCTCAGATATGCAGATGATACCACTCTAATGGCTGAAAGTGAAGAGGATCTAAAGAGCCTCTTGCTCAGAGTAAAAGAGGAGAGCGCAAAAGTGGGCTTGAAGCTCAACATCAAAAAAACTAAGATCATGGCATCCGGCCCCATCACTCCTTGGCAAATAGAAGGGGAAGTCGTGGAAGTAGTGACAGACTTCACGTTCCTGGGATCCCAGATCACCGCAGACTGTGACTGCAGCCATGAAATTAAGATCACCGCAGACTGTGACTGCAGCCATGAAATTAAAAGACGCCTGCTCCTTGGGAGGAAAGCGATGGCGAACCTAAACAGCATGATAAAAAGTAGAGACATCACCCTGCCAACAAAAGTCCGCATGGTCAAAGCAATGGTATTCCCAGTAGTCATGTATGGCTGTGAGAGTTGGACTATAAGGAAGGCCGAGCGCCGAAGAATAGATTCTTTTGAACTATGGTGCTGGAGAAGACTCTTGAGAGTCCCTTGGACTGCAAGAAGAACAAATCAGTCAATCCTCAAAGAAATCAACCCTGACTGTTCCCTGGAAGGCCAGATAATGAAACTGAAGCTCAAATACTTTGGCCACCAAATGAGAAGGGAGCACTCACTGGAAAAGACCCTGATGCTGGGAAAGATTGAAGGTCAAAGAAGACGGGGACGGCAAAGGATGAGATGGTTAGACAGTGTCAGCAATGCAACGAACATGAAATTGAGCCAACTTCGGAGGACGGCGGAAGACAGGAGAGCCTGGCGGGAGATTGTCCATGGGGTCGCGAAGAGTCGGACTCGACTGTGCGACTGAACAACAACAAAAAGATATTTCTAAACCAGTTTAAAGTGTCTGAACCAAACCACTTTTAAAAGTTAATGTCGCAACCAGAATCAAACCCAAATTTTAACATTTCATCTCTCTGCACACAACTACGAAAGATGCTTACTTCGCTAGGAAATGCTGGCTGAGGACAGTATAAAGGTGGTGCGGGAAGATACAAGCCCTCAGGCACCAAACTGCAGAACTTTCTGCTAAGATCCTTGGCGCAGTCCATCAAGAGCTGAAATATCTCTGAAAGAATATCTGCATCTGCCATAACAGCTGCTTTCAGTATTTCTTCAACTGATTTGAAAAGCACATTTGCATCTTCCTCCTCAATAGGATCTGAAGATAAGTAACAAAGCAAATGCTTTAATTAGTGTTTCTTAACAACTTGTACTGCTAAATCTAGCAATTAATTTATCATAGTAAAGATGCATTTTTACTCATTTATCACAGTAAAGATGCATTTTTATGGAGTTCTTTCTGGATGTATTATTCTGTCAAGCAGCTAGGCTCTACGTGTGACCCAAAGCAGCACTTGGTAAATTTGGATTCCCAACATTTATCTTGGGTGACCCACTTATAGACTTTATTCAGAATGCATCTATCAGTTTCAGGCCCCTGATCCCAGGCTTAGCATTGTTGTTGTTAGCCATTCAGTCAGTGTTCGACTCTTGGAGATTCTATGGGCCAGCTCTCTCCATGACTTACGATTTTGTACTGTTTCTTTGAGTTTTTCCATGCCCAGGCTGGTGTCAACTTTAATGGCATCTATCCACTGTGTTCTTTCGCGGTCTGGTTTCCTTTTGCTGCTAACCACAACATACTAGAATCTTGGCATTGCTTTTTTTATGCATGCTTTTATTACATACACTTTTAAACTAAAACATGTGGAAGTGACTTTAGAGCAATCACTGGCCAGTGATAAAAACAACAATAAAAATATTCTTACACTTGGTTACTCAAAGTTATACAAGCACATGGGGGGGGGGCAATCTTTGGGTCCATTTATGGTTTTCCCCCCTTGCTTGCACACAGTTTTGTGGGATTTCAGCCTAAATAGGTAACATGGTATCATATAGGCCTAAATCTCAAAGAGGAGATAAAGCAATATTTGGGTTGTTCTACTTCAGAATGCAGTGAAGGCTTCTGTGATCAAATGGTCTTTCACATAAAGAAGTTCCTTGTACAGAGAACACAATTTTTAAAAAAATATACAGAGGAATACTCCCATCATTTGAAACTCCACCTTCAGTATGAAGGTGGTATGAGGTGGTATAACCCAGACATGTTCACCGCCTCAGTCAGAACTAAGCCAGAGTTTTCCCCAAAACGTAAAGAATAATGACAGAACTGTATAGCAGCAGAAACCTAAAATGGCTACAGAATAGAAGATATTAGCATAAGAGGCCAACTCTGGCCACGGAAAAGGCCAAACATTTGCATAAAATTATTGTATTTGCATAACTACGTAAAACAGAATCAATATTTAAAAAAAAACAGATGCAGAGATCGCACACCTGTAAACTGTTTGTATTTCAACTCTCCATCATTTGATGTTTCCACACTGGCAGGCTGGCCCATAAAAGACTGTAATCGTTCTTGAAAAATTTGTGTTGGAGTCAAATACAATGGCAAGCATAGTTCTACTTTTTGTGACCTGAAAGCATGCAAAGAAAAGTATGCAAAATAACTATTGTTCTCCAAATGGTCTCTATGGCAAGTCAGCCAGAAACATCTACAAGGTACAGAGCATTTGTACCATCTCATAAACATGCACTTGATCTGAGGAAGTGAGGTTACTTCTTTCCCATTCAGTATCTTTTGCTACTGACACAGTGGAGAATCACCAAAAGTCAATTACTAGATGCAGACACTTCAAGCTGTGTGACCAGGCAATGTTTTTTATTTAGCTCAGCAACACTGTTGAATCACTGCAGCTATTGACTTGGCTAGAATGGAACGTAAGACACCACTTTCAAAGGTCGATGGATTCCACACACAGCTGTATAGTGTAGTGGGTTTACACATGGAAGACCACTGTTTGGTGAGGAGATAGTGAATCATTACAGAACCCCACAAATTCCATCTGTTTGATCTCTTTCACTCTGTCCCAAGCTTAAGGCCTGCACTGCCAATTCCCTGGCAATTAGCCTCAGCTCTAGTAAAGCACAGACACAGATAACATGAAAAGCAGTAAACAGCCTGCCTGTGGGAAAGCATTCCACGGACTGCTGCTAGCACGTGCTTGCAATTAGGCTGCAGCAACTTTTAAAAAGCTAGGCAAGACTTGAGATCCTGGTTGATGGGGTATGGTGCAGCCATGTGACCAGCAATTTGCCCTTCAAGAGGACTGTAGGGGATCCCCAGTCTTCAGAGAGCAATGTAGATAGCTTCTCTTTGCTTGATTTTGCCATTTTATATAATTACCACCTTGCTTATAACCGATTATTAAACTTTCATAAACACCATCTTAATCACAAGCGATTTGTCCTCTTTTGGGGTAAACTGTGGACCTAAAATCAGAGTCTGGCAGGTCCAGACTCTAAAGCAGGACTAGCCTCCTGAAGATCATTGCTGTGGTTGAGGCAGGACATTGGTCCCCATTGTTTTGCAATCCTGTGCTCCTTGGAATGGGCTGCCAATCCACACGCAATCATCAGAGTGAAGAAGCAAATCTATGGAGCAAGTCCCATATCCCGCTCCAAATTAATGCAGACCAGTGATCTCTTCGATAGTGTCAGAACTCTAGTCAGGGTCACCGGGCAACCTGTTGGGAACATCTCATAGTATCAACATTTCTGACACTGGATATCACAAAAGTGGTAGACATCACTAAGTCCAACACCTTTTTGGTGGATTTTGGTCCTCTGGGAACAGGGAATTCATTGCTCTCTCTCTGTGTGTAAAGTGCTGTCAAGTCTCAGCTGACTTATAGCAACCCATAAGATTTTCAAGACAAGTATCTAAGCAGAGTTTGCTATTGCCTTCCTCTGCAAAGTCTTCTTTGGTGATCTCCCATCCAATTACCAACCCCACTTAGTTTGCAAGATTTGACAAGATCTGGCTATACTATACCATTCCACATCCCCTAATTCATTGTTCGTTGAAGCCTTTCCTTGACAAGCATGATATGACCGAAACTACCCACGCTCTGATCACATCCAGATTGGACTACTGTATGTGCTCTACACGGACTACTGTAATGTGCTGCCTTTGAAGACTTGCTCAGAAGTTTCAATTAGTGTAAAATGACACACATGAACATGTATGAAGCTGCTTTATACTGAATCAGACCCTTGGTCCATCAATGCCAGTACTGTCTACTCAGACTGGTAGCAGCTCCAGGGTCTCAGGCAGAGGTCTTTCACATCACTTACTGCCTGGCCCTTTTAATTGGAGATGCTGAGGATTGAACCTAGGACCTTCTGCATACAAGGCAGATGCTCTGCCACTGAGCCACAGCTCCTCCCCACGACCACCTCTAGCTATTAAGAACATATTCTTCTGACAGTTGACCTGGCTGGCCTTCTCAGCAGCTAGTGTCCTGGCTGTTGCCTTTAAAGCCTCAACAGTTCCAGGCTGTGAATTGTTTACTCTCAAAATGTACTGGTCCATCAACTGGAATAATTTGTGGAAGTCATTCACTGTGGGCCCCACCCTCAGAGTAGTGGCTAAGAGAGAGAGGGCCTTTTCTGCCATGGCATCTCATATATGGAACTCTCTCCACAGCCACCATCTGGAGTGAGGACAATTCTTGAAAAGAATCAAAATGCACATCTGTCTAACCAACTTTGCAAAACAAGGGAAGAAGCAGGAAACTGAGGCAAAGATTGCTCAGGATGATCCTCCGTTACTATTCTCTGTGTTGGTCACAGAAATGCTGAACAGGAAAGTATGCACCCAGCTTCTCAGCCTATGCTCATATAGCAGAGTAGTGCTAACTGAAGCACAAGCACCCAAACGCTAGAAGTTCCTCCCTGTGGCCCACCAAACTAGACAGACGGCACAAAGGGGAACTACTCAGTAAGACAATTCACCTTTAAAAAAAACCCTCAAGAAAAATAAATTATTTTTAAAACAATTAAAAGTCTTACATGTTGAGGCCTGATAAATCTATAATGAGGTAGGTAATAAAATAGTACTGCAGAATCCAGTTTCATCATTTACATGAGAATGAGTCATGACTCACCTTGAAAAGCCATTGTCACTTCGACAATACTGATTAAAAGCGACACCAATTGAAACAGACATCTTCCAGTCTCCAAGTTTATGTGCCAGCCACACAGCTTCTGGCAGTAGCCCACCAATCAGAAACAAGTCAAGAGCGTATTCAGCTGTCCAGACACAAGAAAGACCTTGATCCCTGATTGCACTGGTGATTCTGGAATGCTGCAGCGGGACAACACGAGGATACCTGTCTAGGGTTAAGAAAAAGAGCTTTTAGTTCCACCATCCCTAGGTTTCTTTGTTGGGTAATTGATCCAGGTGGATTCCAGCTCAATCCTGTGCCTCTTTACTTGGAAGGAAGACCAAGTGCAAAGTGAAACCTTCATCATGAAGAATGTCATTTGCAGCCACTATTTTTAGCAGACAAAAATTTACCATGAACCTTCACAGCTGTAAGATTTGCTGTTCTTCCCAGACTCTCTATAACCAGCACAATCTAGCGCCACAGCATCTACCAGTCTGTAGTTTTTTTGTACTTAGTAGTGCTGAAAGCCAGCCGGTTATGCCTTATGATGCTAACCCCTAACAATACTGACAGAATACCTGGTCTGATGTGAAGTGGAGGTAACACAGCGACATTATGTGGAGGAAGCACAAAAAGTGGCTCATTAGTGAAGTAGGCTGCCATGAATCGAGCCAGCGACTGAACCACTGCCAGGATAGCTTCAGTATGAACGGCCCTTATCATGAATTCAGCATCTATAATGAAAAAGTATACAGCATGTGATAAACATAATGTGAGCTACAGAAATCAAAGTAATTGAGAATTCAACAAGGCAGAGTTACACCCTTCTAAGTCTACTGAGAACCTATTCCCACTGTACAAAAGATTAAAACGCATTTGTTCTGAGAACAGCCCTTTTAAAAACCTTAATAACAGTATTACAATTTCTAACAATGGAAAAAATAACATTAGCATAAACTATCTGTGTGTGTGTGTGTGTGTGTGCACACGTGTGTGTGAGACTGTGTGTGAAGTGCCGTCAAGTCATGGTCAACTTATGGTGACCCCTGACCTGATGGGGTTTTCAAGGCAAGAGAGAAGCAGGGGTGGCTTGCCATTGCCTTCCTCTGCAGAGTCTTCCTTGAAGGTCTCCTTTCCAAGTACTAACCCTGCTTAGCTTCCAGGATTTGATGAGATCGGGCTATATCATGCCGCCTTCCCTCCCATAAACTACATGCCCTGTAGTAATTTAATATCAACAACCTGTTTTACTCAAATGTTTCTTTTTTTTCCTTCAAATTTTTTATTAAGATTAATACAACATAACAGCATATTCAAACATGTCACAAGAACCGATCTGCACAATATAGAATTATCCAGAAGGAAATTTAACAGCACAACTGAAACCAAACCGTTTACATAACCAAGAGCCTTAATTGCCATCATTCAGCTTATATACATAGGATTGAAGCCTGCGTCTCTAACTTCTCGAATGGTGATCGATCTACTACATGTTGTCCCTCTAAATTTGAGCAGGGCCGGGATTAAAAACATATCCAGGGGACATAAGCAGCCTTAGATGGAATTATGTTTTTCTCTGACATATACTGAAGCACACTATACCACACAGCAACAAATCTTTCATATGCCTTCGATGTATCTGCTAATGGAGCTTGAGAGATTCTGAATTTACATACCTGAGATATAGTCCTTCTCTCTCACAGAAATATTACTTTGCTTTAGTAGCTCAAGCACTAGATGATCACACAGTCCTTGAGCCTCACTTAGACTGTAGTGATACAGGTGACAATATAATATAGCAAGGTAGTGTCGAGTTTGAAGAAAAGGTGTTCTCTTTCCTCCTATATTAAAGAGAATTTCCCCAAATTAAAATATAGTCCTGGATATAGTCAGATCTTCCAATCCCTGGCAGATGTACAATCACAGAAGAGGAAATAAATAATGTGAATAGTTATAAAGGACATCTTCTAGTAAATCATTTTTGTGTGAACAGCAATACAAATATAATTATTTATTTACGTAAAACAAACACATATCCCACAGTATGAAAACAGATAAAATATCATAAAAACTGCAACAACACAATCTTAAGAGCAAAACAACAAGCAGAAGAAGCAGAAATAAACAATTAATAAATGATAGCAACAAAGTATGAAAACACTTCAGGAGGAATAACTGAGCCATGATACTAATTGAGTGACCTTAGGCCAGCCACTCTTTCTCAGCCTAACCCACCTCATGCGGAAAAAATGAGGAAGGGAAGATCAAGTAGGCTGTATGCTGCCTTGTACTTCTTGGAAGAAGGGCAAGATTTAAAAAATGTACTAGATTTTGTCAAGCGCTCCAAACTGTACGCCAACATTTCAGTGCTGCATTGAACTTGTTTAGAAATCGGATTTATAAGAGATCTGTGCTAATGCAAACAAAAAGCGTTACATTTTCTCAACAAGGATGATGCCTACATATTGAATATTTCCACCACCTTACCTTTTACTTCGGTCTCCTTGAGAGCTTTCTCCCATACGTCCACAGATTCTTTGTAAGACCCTATCAGAAATTGTTCCTCACCTTAAAAAAAGAAAAGACAAAACACTTAAAATTCAGCACTTAAGCCTCTTTTGCCTCAAAAACCTACTATATTAATCAGATATTAGGGTAGGTAATCTTTAACTAACTCACAGTTGGGGGGGGGGATACCAAAAGAGATCGATCTGAAAATTACTTCAGATCATTATAAAAGTTAGATATCCTGTCTTCTTTAGTCTTGAGTCCTGCCATCACCCCTGCTTCCGCTCTATTGTGGGGGAGTATGTATACTGGAGGCAATTAAGTGTTAATAGTGATGAACACCTTATGAGAGTGGTTCACTTTGCAAGAATTAACTAGCGACATTTTTTTAGTACATGGAGAAAATGGAATAAGTGAATGCCTTGAGCTATGTTAATTAAAACGCTAAAATAAGTATGTACTGAATCAATAATGAAACACTGAAGTGATCTTTTGATCAATGATGTTATATACAAGGCTTCAGGGGGAAAAAGATATCTGAGTGCAATTTCTTCCAAGGTACTGACCAGCCACAGAGTTAAGTTTCAGTGTTTTGTCCAGTTTCTCTCCTGAAGACTGTACAATGGCCTGTATATGATTTGCAAGAGCTTCAATGATTGGTTCTTCATGTACAATTTGTCTTTCAGACAGCAGTTTACTTGAGTTAAGCATTTTTCTGTTTAGCTGTGCCCGATACCAAAGGACATGCTCATACAGTAATTGCCACAGTACAGTTAACCTGAAATTGAAAAAGTATTCAAGACTTGAATCACAAGTCAGCTTGGTCAAAGATTAGTGATAGGTGTTCATACTGATTATGTAACATATTATATGAAGCATCAAAGGAATACCTTTAAAAATACCATAGTTACTCAAAAGGAACACAACCCTGAATGTAAAATAACCACTTCAAAAATGTTATTCACTTCTTCTGGTTATTATTGGACATAATTGTAACTTGTATGTGAATGTAAGACAACCACTTTTTTCTTTTTCTTTTTTGATTGGCAGTGTTGAGGGGAAAAAACTAGTCTTGCACTTGAGTCAATATTGTACCTGAAACTTAATTTAGGAACTCCAAGTTTGCAGAAAAATCTTACTTTGGAAAAAACCCACAATTTTGGGGTACTCCGAGTTAATAGGACCATCTGCATGGATGCAGGACAAAGACCAAGAGGCAATGAGGGGTGGAGAAGGGGAGGCGGGGGGCAAGCCAGACTGAGAAGTTATGGGGAAGCAGAAAATGTGATTTTCCAACCCTCATGAGTCCTCATGGATACGCCTCTTAACTTTATATATATTTCAACCCTCATTTTATGAAACTAAACACAAATTGTTAGAATCCAAAGAACCATACAGCCAATGCTATAAGTCTTGTTTTTTCCTGCATAAGAGCCACCAATGTATTGAGGGAAGTTACAAAAACAATTTCTGTTACAACATGCAATGCTGTTGAAAGACATGACCCATCATGCCTAGAATAGTTCTCTAGAATCTATGCCAGCACATTTAACATGCTTCATTCAGAATAGGTTAAGGTGATGAGCCCATATTTATCTTGTGAAAGATTATTTACAAAAATTAAAATCAATTTTAAAAGAACACTTCATGTAGATTAGAAAACATTCCTACCTCTTTTCTGGATTCACTCCCAGGTTTACCACTGGAGGGGAGTGCTTGAGTACAGATTTCACTGCACAATAATTTTGATGACTGCTCCAATCCTTAGCTTGAAACACAGGCATAACTAAGGAGTCCAGCTCCACATTGCTACTAACATCCAGGAATGCTGGAAGTATCTCATACTGGGGCACATTTTTGCCATTTAGGCAACAAGTAACCATTTTCAGCAAAGAGAAGCCTCCCAAAAGATTACTAGAAAACAGCTGACCATGCTGTTCTGTAAGCATTAGTTTCAGCGTATGCAACGTCAGCTTGATCAAATGTCCCAGTGTCTGTCTATGCATACCATCCCAACTCAGAAGAGTCAAAAACTGCTGAAAACAGTTTAAAACGCACTGTATCCATGGATTATCCGTTAAAAAGTTATTTAAATTTGAAAAGTTAAGCTTTGCATACTGTAACATTCTTAAAAAGTGCGTAATGCAACGTATGGTAGAACTTAGCAATGTATCTCCTTCTTGTACGTTTCTTGAAATCCCCATTCTCCAAGCTGCAAGCAGATTTTTTTGGATATAGTTCAGTTCTAAAGATATGTCATCTTTTTGTTCTTCTGTTCCATTCACTGCATGAATGGTGTCAAACATCGATGCAAATTCCAACCTGCCTTCATCACTTAAAGAGTTATCAGTGTTTTGGCTCCCAAAAATAAAAGAATAACTTTGAAACTGCTTGTCTTCATCAGAATCTTCAGCATCATCCTAATTTAAGAAGAAACATTATACATAATCAGAAAGCTATCTTTTATATATGTCTACATGTACAGAAAATGTGGGTAAGTTATCAAACTAAAAAGAACCAAACTAAAGAACTGGGATGCTATACCAACTATAATTAGAATGAGAAATATGAAACGGAGATTGCAAACACAAAAATATTAAAAGGACAGGCTCCTTGCAGGGTAGAGAAGCAATGAAGTGAACCCCGTAAACAGTTATGAGGCCTTCAACAAAACTGAGTAAAGAAAGTCCTTTCTATACTTAGAACAGAATGGAATGGCCAGTTTGCTGGCCTGCATATAATAATTTTATATTTTTTGAAAAATATTTTACAATAATTTCTACATATATAATAATCTTAATCAAAAATATCAAAAATCATCTCCAAGAATCTCAAAAGGTATTGGACAACCTTTAATAATAGTCCTCCTCTGTTAAATAAAAGTTTCAAAAGGGAGGACTCCTTAAAGCCTCTTTATAACATGTGCTTGTGTCTTCCTCCAACAACTGGAAACAAACAACTGGAAACCCCAGAAACAAAGTATTAAATCCTGCTGTCACATACTATTATGCTAAACTGCATTATACATATATCAACAGACTAGTTCAAAAACAAACTTTGAATACCTGAAAGCCTACTTTTTGTTCTGTTCCTTCCTCATCTTGGAGAAATTTTGGAATCACAGAGTGGGCAGAACATTCATTTTGATGATTCTGTAACAGACTAACTCTTAAGGAGGACAATGATTGCAGCAGCAGTCTTTTCCCCTTAGGCTGAAAAAAACAACACAATGATATCATTTATAACCTACTCAATCAGAGAATAAATATTTTATAAGAAACTAACAGTGCACCTCTAAGCAACGTTACACACATCTAAGCCTGCTGATTTCATTAGACAAGTCAAGTCAAACCAATAGGCAGTATAGGTACTTGTCTTATGGCACTATAATCCAAAAGAGCCATTGTTACTCTGGAAAAAACTTCCAGTGGAAAAACAAGAGCAATTCCACTGCTTCAGACTAGATGGGGCAGATGTGTTCCCCTACTGTATTATTTTTTTAGCTGCTGCCCATTCTCCTGAATATTTGCTTATGGAGCAGGGGAAAGGGTCTGCTATCAGGAAAACCAACCACTCTAACCCACCCACCTGCACAGCATAAGCTGCAGAGAGAAGAGGAGAGGGGGAAAAATGATTTTTGCCTAGGGAAGCTATGTAGCTTGAGCCTGCATCTAAACGTAAGAAGCCAGAAGCTCACTGGCTGTCTACGATGCTCTTAATAATACTTGCTTTTTTTAAAAAAGCCCCAAGGTCGCACAGGCAGATTGGAATATATAAGGCAGCAAAAAAATCTATTGCATTTCTCTGTTCCATTCATTCTTGGCCTCTGCTGTACAAGACATTCCCTAAAGTAGTTATCTTTTAACAATATAGTGAACCCTGACTGTCCAAGGAAGACAGAACAAGATGGTAATTCAACTGACTTCTCAGCTCCAAAGAAGGATGGGGAAAAGCAGCTAACTGCATTAGGGAGAGATACTGCAAGTTAGGCTGCCCATCTCCATCCCCTCTCCCTCTAAACATGCCACAGAACTCCGAAGTTGCAGCACTTCTCACTGTGTTTCTCCACAAGTCTCCATCTTCCCTATCTACTTTCGCCAGCAGCCCTTTAAGAGCAAGCAGGCAGGAGTGTATGAGACTGCAGGATGGGGGGCAGAGCATAAGGCACAATGGATGTAGTCTTTCTCAGTGCCTCAAGGCATTTACTTGAGTGGCATGTAAGGCAAGGATCTGGGGACCATAATTATAACCTTACACTACAGAAGAAAGCCAGCAAAACAACCGTACCTTAGATGCAACCAGACTGTGGCGTAGTTTTTCAAGTCTCTGGGCTGAATCAAGCAGCAATGACCTCAAAAATGCTGATGGTGAAAAACCGTCACAAAATCTAAGAACCGTGAAGTTGTATCCATCAGAGACAATGAGGTAAGGTAACCTTGGATGGGATGTTACAGAAAATCTCTGCCTCATATAGTCTCCTTCAGAGGCTGATGAATTATGGGAGTGATTTGAATCTTGAAGCAGAGCGAGGTGTGATCTAGCAAATAGAATTATCAGGAAAATAAATCAGCAGATGCAGTCTACCTTATCATGTAAATGCACCCAGGGGAGGATCCAGTCCTCCTCTTCCAGATCCAATCTCATCAGATCTCAGAAGCTAAGCAGGGTCAGCCCTGGTTAATATGTGGATGGGAGACCACCAAGGAAGTCCAGGGTTGCTGCAGAGGCAGGCAACAGCAAAGCACTTCTGAACGTCTCTGGCCTTGAAGACCCTACAGGGTCACTCTAAGTTAGTTGCGACTTGGCAGCAAAAACAAACATACAAGTAAGGGACTACTATACTAGAGGCCTCTTCCCCTACCAACCCCTCTCCTCTTATGTGCAAACCTCCACATTTTGGGAAAGGATTGGCTGTACAACCCTAAAAACACTTTCCTGGCAGTAAGCACCACTGAACAGACCTCCATAGGATTTTGAGTAGATCCAGTTAGGATTGCAGGCTGGATCACCCCCCAAATTGTATTAGAATTGTTCAATAAATGCAACAATGTAACCCACAATGCCAGAAAAACATAATTAATTCTGCTTTCCCAAATGATACTTTAAACTTTATGATTTTTCCTGACAACATGCATACACAAAATATGAAATGTGAACCAAAAAAGCACAATGGAAATGATGAAAGTGATGAAATGCTCACAGGGAACTCTAGGATATATTCTCAACAGCAAAAGGGCTATTTAGATCTCTTTTGCACTGGATTTGATGGAAATTTTGATGATGCATCATAAACATCTGGACATCAAGCCTTCTCAGATAAGTCCCCTTTTAAAAAATAAGAATAATGTTGCAGTGTTCCCTCTAAGTTGAGTTAGTGTGAGCTAGCTCACAGGTTTTTAGCCTCCGGCCCACACATTTTTGTCTTAGCTCAGGGAGGATGGTTCCAGAGCAAACTAATTTATGCAGCAGCCAAATTGCTCACTCACAACATTAAATGCCAGTAGCTCACAAAGTAGAATTTTTGCTCACAAGACTGCACAGCTTAGAGGGAGCACTGGTTGCAACCGGGCAGATATTCCAGTGTGCAAGTATCCGCCCCCCCATCTTTTTGAAGTGTAAAAGTTTACCTATACTCTTTTTTTCTTGACCCTGACATGATCTTGCCCGTTAGTAGCACACACGTGGTTCTGAACACACAAAAACAGCAGCAGATAAGTTATTAATGCCTTGATGATCATCCAGACCTAGGGAGCAGCAGATATAAAGAGCGCCTCCTCTCCTCCCTACAATGTTTTCCAATGTACTGAGCCGTAGCAACTCCAGACTCCACATACATTCCTGTCAGACATCCAGCAACACAGTAGTCTCCAGCCTACTCATACTGCTAGTATGCATGGTTGTTCCAAGAGGGCAAATGGAACTAGAAAGCAGTTCTCATTAAGCAAGAGATCAGCAGACTAGGCCGTACTGCACTTACACAGTGACCTCCAGCATCCAGTGCAGCCTGACATGACCACTGGGTTGCATCTGTCCTTGTTCCTGGAGGCCAACATGCAGTTCTAGCACCTGCACTGCCATACAGCACACTCCCCTGATCTCCACCCTCTTTTTTGCTACTCCTTTGTAGTGGCCTAATGATTCGGGAGGGGCTGTGGCTCAGTGGCAGAGCAACTGCTTGGCATGCAGAAGGTCCCAGGTTCAGTCTCCACTATGTCAAGTTAAACGTTCTGGCAGTAGGTGATGTGAAAGACCTCTGCCCAAGACCCCGGAGGACAGCGGCCCGTCTGAGTAGACAATACTGACTTTGATGGACCAAGGGTCTGATTCAGTATAAGGCAGTTTCATTCAATCCACTTCCCAGCAAACCTTGAGCCTGAGCTCTTTGCAGGAAAGGCTGTTATCCTCTTCTTTAGCAAAATACCTAAAACTGTATTTTTTTAAACCACCAGTCGAAACAGTTCAATTGTGGTTCCTTCTTTGCAAATGTGGAATGCCCCTCAGTATTTCGTCACCCTAAGAAATATGCCACTGTGCACATGATGGTGTGGGGGAGACATGTAATACAGAATGTCACTTAGAATGGCAAACAGAGTCCAAATAAATTTGATTTTAGTGTGGAAATCACTTAGGATTTTGCCAATAGTTTCGATTCCATCTAATACATCACAGTTCATAAATGTATTTGAAGAGTGCTCCAAAAGAATGCAACAGCCAGCAACACATTCACGTTGGTTAGACTAGATAAGGTTTGGACCTATAATCACACATGGACAAAAGGACAGGTCACAGACAGTGAAAGCCTAAATGTGTGGATTACGACAAAATTATTTAAATCAATGATGCACTGTAGTGTATAAAACTGCAGTACATTTAGGAACAGTCAGATTTGTACTTTAGTTATTAAAAAGACAGCTACTTTAGAAACACTTAAAAGTTGTCACTGTACTGCCATTTTAAGGCACTTGGGCTGCAATCTAGAAGAAAAAGGAGATTGGATTTATACCCCGCCCTTCACTACCCAAGGGAGTCTCAGAGCAGCTTACAAACTCCTTCCCCTCCCCACAACAGACACCCTGTGAGGTAGGTGGGGCTGAGAGAGCTCTGACAGAAACTGCTCTTTTTTTTCAAGAACAGCTCTTATCAGAACTACGTTTTGCCCAAGGTCATCCAGACAGGTGAAAGTGGAGAAGTGGGGAATCAAACCCAGTTCTCCCAGATTAGAGTCCGCGCACTTAACCACTACACCAAACTGGCTCTCTTCCTTGGAACTAAGACCCAACGAATAAAATGGGCCTTAGTTATGGGTATACCTACTTTGGATCAGTGTGTCATTCATTTCCACCAGTTGCTGCTACTCCATCTGCTGTCACTGGCCCTATCCTTCATACAGCAGGCTATATAAAGTACCAATGTGTGTACTGAAAAATGAAGTTCTAGGGTGTGTTTCCCATTAGAACCGTTTTAAGGGTGGGAGGTAGGGGAATGTACCTAGAACAAAATGTATTTGGGGAAACAGGGAGCAGTATGTACAAAAGATATTAATGAATGGGAAGGAATAATTTTTTAATTTATCTTTCTTGTTTTCTCTTGCCATTCAAGTATTACATTCAGTTTATGATCCCTTTGGAGACAGAGAAAGATACTGCAAGCCACCATGGGACAGGGAGCTTTACAGATATATTAGGTACATATAAAGAGAGGATTTTCACTCTACAAGTGTTATGTAGGACATTTTAGTGCAATGCAGTATACAATACCAACGCTGTGTCTGAGCTGCAGGCACAACCACATTATTCAGATTTCTACCTAACAATGTTTCATGTGATTTTTGTTCTTCTTGCTGACCTCATCTGGGAGGAAGAAATCAACAAGGCTTGGAAGAATATATTCCCACCGCAAAACTGTTTAATGGACTATCTGCCCTTGTTTAGGTTTTCCTCCTTCCCATAGCAAATAACTTTTGTAAGAGAGGATTTAAAGGAGAGGTAGTGAGTTCATGCAAACAGGATCTGGATCCAGAATAAGCATTTAGGGTAGGTACTCAGAGATTCTTGCGTACAGGCTATATGTGCTGGGGAATGTGGAAACAAATCTCAGACAAGCCCTGCATTACATGCTTATATCTGCAAACCGATGTCTGTAAATTCTGGGGAAGACAGCTAGTTGCGCTGTGAAAGGACCTTATTATGATAACTAAGAATATACGTAATGCTTCCCATTGCTTTCAGGTCCCTTGTTGCACTTAATTAAACCCTTAATGTGAAGAAATCATATGAACATTAGGAATGCGAAGTTAATAAAAGTTCATATACAGATTGAATATTTTTCATTTTATTCATGCAAAACCATTTATCTGTAGTTTCTGTACATTAAAAGTCCTGTATCTACAAAAATACCTCCCTATCTCATGGTGTAAAATAACTGCAGATCTACATTTTGAAAATTTATTTCACAAATTGTTATTTCATTATTTGGACAGAATCACTGAGGGCGATTTCTCACTAGAGCTGCCTTGCAGCGCAGCGCCATTTGCCCCAACACAAACATGTCAATTTCACACCCGAAGCTGCGGGGCTGCATTTGACCCGCGGCTTCGCCCGATTTCCTCCGCAGTTTCATGATTGTCAAAAACCAGGATCACAAAACTATGGAGGAAATCGGGCGAAGCCGCGAGTCAAAATGCAGCCCCGGAGCTTCGGGTGTGAAATTGACATGTTTGTGTCAGGGCAAACGGCGGCTGTGCTGCGAGGCAGCTCTAGTGAGAAATCGCCCTGAGTTAATTCTCCAGTAGTTCTACAGAACTACTCTATGTTTTTTAAATGACTTTTTAATTTTATTCCTCATTTTGCTTTTGTGTCATGAAGATTATTACAAATGACACCTCTTAAGACTATATTAAAAACATGTGGTCCTAATAGTTATTTAAATAAGTCATACTTACATGATGAATATGTCATTTGCTCAGCAGGACAAAGCCATTTAAGAAATAGAAGAGAACTATGAATGAGAAACAGATATTGAGAAGAAAGACACAGAAAAAGCAAAAGAATTAATTGGAAAGTAAGACATTTAAAATAGAAGTGTTGGAAAGAAAGATATGATCAAATGATTTTTAAAAAACCCTCCAGAACATTTTGATTTTTCTCACCTGTATGTTACTAATGGATGCAGAGGAACAAATTCTGCTGGTCCAAACTCCACAGAGCAACCGAAAGTAACCAAAGTCAGAAGTTCACCCAAACATGTCATTAGGATCAATGACCCACGTTTTAACATGCAAGCCAAGAACAGGCTATCAGGGGTCCAGCACATGCTAGCAATCCAGTAGGACCTAGGAATAGCACGACAAATGACACTTTCAGCACAGGTTTCTTTTTTCTTCTTCTTTTTTTAGTCTCTTCTGGGAAAAGAGTTTACTTTTTGAGTTGATACTGACCTTATAAACTTTGATGGAATGTTCCGATTCTTGCTTCCACAACCCTTAACACTACCAGAAACAGTAACGAAATTCATTGTGTTCATAAACAAGATTTGAGTTGCCTGAAATTTTTCCAAAAAGAAACATTTATAGTGAAAGGCAGAATGGTCAAACTGCATGTAAACTCAGCACCATTAAATGTGAGCATCTGTCTCTTGTTTCTCTTATCGCAAACCTAGTAAATCAATATAAAATATACAGTGTTGCTGAATATAAGTGTTGATGTATGTAACATAAAATAGAGACTCCCAGACTCATTACTTGCTTCCCTACTTATCCTTTATTAAAGTCTTTGTCAGAATAATTCTAACGTGGTTTACACCCATATGCAGCTTTATGCCTAGAATGTGGCCAAAATCTTATGACTACAAGGGCGTGGTTAATGACCTTTAAGTTTTGGCTTTGATTACATCACAGATCTGATCCCTCTAGTTACTGCTTCCAACTTTTGACTGAATCCAACTACTCCCCTTGGTTGGTTATCATTGAAAATAAATTGTTGTTGTTCAGTCGCACAGTCGAGTCCGACTCTTCGCGACCCCATGGACCAGCTCCCGCCAGGCCCTCCTGTCTTCCGCCGTCCTCTGAAGTTGGCTCAATTTCATGTTCGAAAAATAAATTACGAACACTGAATATCCCTTTCGAATCCTCACTCTTGCTTTCTGAATTGGAGGCAATGCAAACAATAAGGGACAGGCTATTTGAGGCAGAGCTATTTGAACTGTACAACACAGATAATAAGACATGCTCCCCTCTAAGTCATGGGATATTGGCCACTGTGGGTCATCCTGCTAGCTATTTTCACCAACTTCAGACTCCAGCGTTACGTAGAACCTTTTCACTTGCCAGGTTCAATGCTCTCCCTTCAGCGATCTTAACTGAGAGGTTTAATAGTATCCCTTTTTTAAATAGACTATGCCCCTGTGCAAGTGGGTCAGTCGAAATGGTGTCTCACATGTTATTGGAATGCCATTACTATGCCAATATTTGACACCGCATTTTATCGTCATTACTTGGTGGTATCAGAGAGCTTGACTCACACAAATTGCTTTATTTGCTAAACAGTGATGATGAAAATATAACCGTTTCTGTGGCAGAGTTCTTGCAGGCTGCTCTTTTTATTTGTAGTACAGTATTGTAATACAAAACTTGTATTCAGGAGATATGAAATAGAGACTGTTTTACATTGATTTTAGTCTTAGAACTTTTATTTCTCTTTGATTAGTATTCGTTCTTTACAGGGGTCTTTTCATAGAAAAAGAGGTGCAGGAGCTCATTAGCATAACTTATTTGCATATGCCACACCTCCTGACATCACCAGAAGTGTGTCAGAAGGCAACACCCACCACTCAGGCTCCACTGGACTGTTTTGGATTGGACGTGCAGATTTGTCTTCACAGAGGAGGGAGAACTTGTACCTGAATAAAACGTGGTCTTAAAGGTGCCACTGGACTGTTTTGGACCAGGGGGCTGGGGGGGGGGGCTCTGCAGCTTACCTGGCTGCTTCTTGCTCTGACTGAGGGCTGTTGGGAGCAGGGGGTGGGGCTTGTTGCATGTGCCCGCCCCCTGGGCTCTTTACTGCCGGAGCTCCGCTCCCGTGCGCTCCTGCAGGAAATGACCCCTGGTTCTTTACCTTATATTTTGTATATTATTCTTTTTAATGTCAATGCCAATAAAGGTAATTGAATTGAATTGAATTGAACGTGGTTTACGACGACACAATCAAATGCCTGAATATTATGAACGAGACAATTTTGTCATTTATGCTATGTTCATACCTGAGGATCTTTTTGATTGACAGCAATTGCTAGTACAAGCCCATCACTTGAAAATGCAGTCAGCAGAGCACCTCTTGATTTCATTGCCTCACAACAGGGGATCAAACTACGCAGAGAGCATGTTTGCTGTGTCCAGTGTATTCGACAGGGAGAAGAACTACACAGGAGAGAGAAAAAATAATAAAGGAAACATCAGGTCTGGATTTCTGTGGCTGCTGTAAGCTGTTCTTACAGATGCAAAGTGAACAATGTATGCAACTGAAACCCACTGTTCAGTAAACTGGATTTTTAAATCAACATTATAGACCAATTGTTAAATGTTAGGAGACATAGCATGTATGAGAAAATAAACACAGAATTGACTGAATATGCACATGATTAGCTAGCAATTCACTATGTACATATGAAAACATTTAACCATGCATACAGAAGAGGAGAGGAGAGGAGAGGAGAGGAGAGGAGAGGAGAAGAGATTGGATTTATACCCCGCCCTTCACTACCCAAAGGAGTCTCAGAGCAGCTTACAAACTTCTTTCCCTTCCCCTCCCCACAACAGACACCCTGTGAGGTAGGTGGGGCTGAGAGAGCTCTGACAGAAACTGCTCTTTTTCAAGAACAGCTGTGCCAGAACTATGGCTTGCCCAAGGTCATCCAGCAGGTACAAACGGAGGAGTGTGGAATCAAGCTCAGTTCTCCCAGATTAGAGTCCACGCACTTAACCACTATACCAAACTGGCATTTTCACTCATAAAGTACCTGCATGTTATTTATTTATTGTTTATTTATTACTTTAGATTTGTATCCCGCCTAGCCTGGGCAAAAACATGTGACAGTAGATTTCCAAGTTTTAATATCAGACTTCAAAAATTTGTGTTATAATTTCATAATTAAAAAAACAAAACTTACCTAGCACTTTTAAAACTGTTCTCCTGCCACCGAATTTCTAAAAATGTCAGCATTAAACACTCCTCAGAATAAAATGCAAAACAACATAGGCAGCGGTCACCCAGCATCTGCCAATAAACCAAAATAATGTTTAACAATAATTCTTGGAGAAAGAAAGATCAACAACTAAAGTTCAAATTACCTAAAAACTATTCCTGAAGCTCACTTGGAGCACTAGACAGAATATTATGTAAACTTACATGTCTTACCCTTGATAGCTTAAGCTGCAAATATACTGAACTCAAGCAAGTATAGAATGTGAAGGTTACAAAATATTATGGCAGGATCCTAGCCAGGAAAAAATACATATGAAAGCGCATTTTTATTGCTGCCCATATACCAATCAGAATGGCACACTGCCATTGCAGCAGATTCAGACATTACTGTGTTGCAGGGTGTGATTATTCACCTCCTCTCTATCACCCAGGGACTCTTCTGCCTAACCCAGCTCATTTCTGGTATCAGAGCTGGGCAGGAAGGTCAGAACAGTGGATGGTTCAACTCCCTAGAGTGTTCCCATCTTTTGATGTTGATATCAGACACATACCTCATCCCAGTTTTCTACATGAATGGGCACAAACGCATGGTCAAATGTGTATCCACCCTGAATTTATACACTGTAGCAGACATATGATTAAACAATCATGGTTGCTCCTATACCATCTAGTTTGGTACACTATGACTAAGGCTGCAGCATTCGGCTTTGGACTGCACTCAGACCAAGGCCCTCTTACACAGGTGAAGTCGTTTTCCCTTAGCCTAAGATGCAGCTTCTGAATTTGCAGGAGGGAGAGGAGAAACTATTAGGCAGCCAGCCAGCGAAAAATTTTAACTTCCAGTGCTTGAGCGAGGAGAAAACAGGATTTGTTCTGTGGCATTCCAAAGATAGACAAAGCAGCCAGAACAGCTACATTCAAGTCCAGTAGCACCTTAGAGACCAACAAGATTTGCGGTGGCTCAAGTGGTTAAGACGCTGAACTGCAGGCTGTGGAAGGTCAGTAGTTCAGCAGTTCAAGACCCGAGTTGCCGCATGACGGAGTGAGCTCCCGTCTCTAGTTCCAGCTCCTGCCAACCTAGCTGTTCGAAAGCAAGAAATTGCAAGTAGATAAATAGGTACCACTTCGGTGGGAAAGTAACAGCGTTCCGTGCGCCTTGGTGTTTAGACATGCTGGCCACATGACCATGGAAACGTCTTCGGACAGCGCTGGCTCTTCAGCTTTGAAACGGAGATGAGCACCGCAACCCTAGAGTTGGACTCGACTGGCTTTCGAGCAAGGGAACCTTTACCTTTACTTATACACTTTTGAGAGTCAAAGCTCCCTTCATCACAGCCTTGACCCTTGAAAGCTTACACCTTGAAAAGCTTGTTGGTTTCTACAGTGCTTCTAAAGTGCTCCTGAACTCAAAAGCAGTCACAGTCATCCCATGACTTGCTCTATCATCCAGTCTCCCCTCTGCCTGACCACCAATTTGAGACTGAGAAGATTAGTTTGGAGAGTGCAAACAAACAAATGAGACAGTTTTCTTCAGTTGGGTTTCTTCTTCCCAGTTTTTTGCCCCTCAGCCCACTGTATTAAAGCTGCCCGTGAACAATACTCACCAGGGGCTATGAGGTTTTAAGCAAATTTTATTTACCCTGGTTTTTCTTTGAATATTATAGGTGTTTCATATTGTGACACGTTATAGGTGGAAAGGACCTGGGAAAGCTAGAAATTTAATGTAGTGCCAACAACATACCAGACAGTAGTGGCATGGTTTCTTCTGTGTTCTACTGAACACATAGTTAATAGCAAATATACAGTACATTTCTACCATGGTCACAACTACAGAACTGGTACCAGAAGTCTCACTATACAAGTTACAAAGACCATTCTCAATTAAGTCCATGAAAGCAAGTGTTTATTTTACCTCATTTTTGATGAATTCAGCACTCACTGCAGTTTCTTTCTCTTCGAGAGACGGCAATACAACGGATGCTTCAGGAATAATTTGTGACCACTGTCCCATTAAAGAATGTTTGGAGGGTGTATTTTCATATTCCATGTTCTCCCACAGAAAGACACAAACTGAAGTAGCAAGGAGCACTTTCCCCCCATCATCAGAAACATATAGATATAGCCTCAAAGAACATTCTAGAAAATAATGTTGTGTGTTAAAACAGCTCATCAGCTTCTATATTATCTGCATGAATATGTTGCATGCATACTAGCTGTTATTAAATGTTATTAAAATTAACTATGTCATAAGAACATAAGAGCCCTGATGGATCAGACCAATGGTCCATCTAGTCCAGTATCCTGTCTCACAGAGTGACCAACCAGTGCCACAACAAGGCATAAAGGCCGAGGCCTTCCCCTGATGTTGCCTCCTGGCTCTGGGATTCAGAGGCTTAGTACCTCTGAATGTGGAGGTTCCCCTCAGCCACCATTTATTTATTTATTCGATTTATACCCCTCCCTCCCCGCTAAAACAGGCTCAGGGCGGCTTACATAAAAAGTTAAAATACATAAAACAAAACACTTATAAAACCAATTCACAAAGTGCTAGTAACAATATCAAACATTGCACAGCGATGGCGGAGCATAATTGATAATGTGCTTGCTGACTTTAATGTAGCAAACATTAAATCTGGGGCACTCGCTATACATTTTACTACTATCTAGGATCCCGTTCCCATATTACATTAATGAGAAATATTATTAGTAACATTATCCACAATAAAATAAATTAAGCATTGCAAGGCGTTCTTATTTCTTTGCTCTAAATATAATTAAACTAAGATCTTAACTAATATATTACATGAATATTCCTACCTTTTATTGCTATGACTGCTTTCTTAGATTCCTCAACTGCTGGGACAGTTTTTAGATCATCTTGATCTTTGTGCCAAAGAAAGAGCTCTCCTGTTTCAAGCAGCCCTGCCAGCCAAGCTCCTTTCAAATAAGAAAAAAGACTTTTAAATAATGCAACAATATTAGAATATTTTTTCCACTTTGGTTTCTACCGTCACTTTCAGTTTCCATAAACGTAACTAATTTTAGTTAAATAAATTTAAATATATAATAGGATAAACTTTTAGTACTAGTACTTAACCATTTCTTGATGCTGTTAAGACTACAACGTTTTTCAGCAAAGGATGTAACTGAGGGATCTTCTTTTTTGTCTTTCCTGAAAGTAGGTTAATTTCATTTATGTTTTTGTCATCCAGAAGAAATACAGCTTCCTTTTCCTATTATTATAAAAACAATAACAGTGTCAAGTCTTTTATACAGCAATCTGTTCTCTAGTTCTGTCTGAATAAACACAATGTAGTCCAAAGCCCCTTTTGTGTTAAGAATAAGACTCTGGGTTACGTTTTGTTGATGTTTAATTTTGTGATCTTATTTCTGTAAGTCTAAAAAAGAAATTTTGATAAGTCTAAAAGAGAAGAAGAAGAAGAAGAGATTGGATTTATACCCCACCCTTCACTACCCGAAGGAGTCTCAGAGTGGCTTACAATCTCCTTTCCCTTCCCCTCCCCACAACAGACACCCTCTGAGGTAGGTGGGGCTGAGAGAACTCTCTCGAGAACTGCCCTTGAGAAAACAGCTCTGAAAGAACTTATGACTGAACCAAGGCCACACCAGCAACTGCATGTGGAGGAGTGGGGAATCAAACCTGGTTCTCCCAGATTAGAGTCCGCACTCTTAACCACTACACCAAACATACATGAAAACTCGCCACTGCCATGTAGGTAATTTCTTGGTCACAGAAAAGATGCTAAAGCCTACATTCACTTGTAATACTGAGAAGGCAGTGGAACTGCTAAAACAGTCAATGCCTTTTAATCATACGAAACCTTTCTTAGATGTCACTGAAGAATAGTAGTAATACAGAATCGCTGTACACATATAGGATATGTCAGCAGTTTTACTTCTGTGGACCTATGTGACGGCAATAGCAATAATGACAATATCATGCCCCCTGATTTCCTAAATAAACTATAACTTTGTTCCTGTTCTCAACAGAATGAATTCTATACTATGTAATCAGACCTAGTACACAACCTAGTCTTAGCTAAGCACTTTTATCCCATTAATTTCAATGATGAAGAGTTAAGCATGCAACACTGAAATACATGAGACTTAAAAGTGTTTTACTCTGGTAGGACCATGACCCTTTACTGTATGTCATACAAAAACGAAGTGAGTTATTACCTGTCCCAGCCAAATGATTCGAGGCCAGGGCTTCCTTTGCTTGATACATGTTGAAGCTAGAACTTCTAGTTTAATTTCCATGATTATTAATACTTAGGAGAGCCATAAGAGTTTTAAGAAGAAAACGTCCTGGATGAAAGTCTGCCCATGTGCCTAGAAAAGTGGTTAAATGTATTTAATTCCTGAAATTCAAATCCAAAGAACAAGAACGCAGTTCTTTGAAAACAAAAATGTGATGGTTGGGATTATCATATCTGAAATTGATCCAGTCCGTACATCCAGGGTCCACTCCAAACCAGAACAGGCATTTCACGGATTGAAGTATTCTTTACAGTCCCTACTAGCCACCCCACCCACCCCCCCACCCCATCTTGTCTGGTACGCCTAGAACTGGATTGGTATGTTGTGGCTATCCTGAATCCAGACATCCATAGGACTCAAATACACAGCCCCAGTGACTCCTATGCTTTACCACAATAGTTTCACTGATCTGAGCAGGGCCTTCTGCAGGTGCTGCTCTGCAAATGGGCAAGATCAACAACAGCCCATACACATGCATCCCCAGTTATGGTCCCCACCTTATCTCATCCTATTCATTGCACTGACTAATCTTGCTTTGAGCTTCAATAAGAAAGGCGGACTACAAATAAAGTAAATATTTTTTTTAAATCCTAGCCCTATAACATAAATAAACGAGGATCACTGGCACCTGTAGGTTTCAAGCACACACACATCCCAGGAATCCTTCTGTGGCATCTTTGCTCCATCTAGATGCTTTGCAAGGCTCAGCCATGATGCTCAAGAGGTCCCTTTGGGCCAGTCATGATCTGTTGCCTCTGTTCAAATGGTTGCTCAGGCAATGAAAGGAAATAAACTCAACATGCATGACCTGCTGTTTTGAGAAAGGAAAAAAACATAGAATTTAAAAATTAAGTGAGAAAAAGATGTGCCCTGAAAAGAAGTATTCATTACTTAACAGTGTAATAGGAGCCCTGCTGGATCAGGCCAGTAGTCCATCTAGTTCCGCACCCTGTCTCACAGAGGCCAACCAGTTCCTCTGGAGGCCCAGCAACAAGGCATAAAGGTTGAGGCCTTCCCCAATATTGCCTTCTGCCACTGGTATTCAGAAGCTGACTGCCCCATAACGTGAAGGTCCTTTAGTCACCATGTCTAGTAGGCACTGATGGACCTATCCTCCTTGAATCTGTCTATCCCCTTTTACAGCTGTCTGTTTTTGTGGTCATCACTACATCCTATGGCAGCAAATTCTACATTTTAATGACCCATCGTGTAAAGGATTTCCTTTTGCTTGTCCTGAATCTACTGCCCATCAACTTCATTGGGTGCCCTTGAGTTCTAGTATTCGGGGAGAGGGAGAAAAGGTTCTCTGTGTCCACTCTTTCGGCCCTTTACATACTTTTATACACCGCTATAATGTCCCCCCTTAGTCATCTATTTTCTAAACTCAAAAGTTCTAGACTCTTCAGGAAAGGCGTTTCAATCCCATAATCATCTTGGTTGCCCTCTTCTTACCTCTTCCAGCTCTGCAATGGGAGTGGAAGGGACTTTCCAAAAAACACCACACATTATTCCCATCCCACTTCCCAATAACTGGAAGGGAATTCTCTTTGCGGCTTTCACCAAAATAAAGGATTAGAAACCAAGTCACAATTATGCTTTGTACAGCTCTGATCATTCCACTAGTGTTATAACTGTCAAGTAGTAGTAGTCCCCATTAACATACAAAGAACAAAAGGAGAGAGCAAAATACTTTCTGAAGAATTATTGGCATCATGGTAGGAAGCTTCTTTCTATAACAGGTTCGTATCATCTTGGTTATAAATCGTACTCAAGGCCTTCATAGCACAGACACCTTGTACAGAAAACACAGCCCACCAAAGCTCCAAATATCACACATGAAAGGAATTTTCAGATAGACTTAGCATTTTAATATTTTCAGAGGGTAGCCATGTTGGTCTGCAATAAAACAGTTACACTTGATTTCAGTAGCACCTTCGAGAAGAAGAGATTGGATTTATACACCACCCTTCCCTCAGTCTCAGAGTGGCTTACAAACTCCTTTCCCTTCCCCTCCCCACAACAGACACCCTGTGAGGCAGGTGGGGCTGAGAGAGCTCTGATAGAAACTGCTCTTTTTAAGAACAGCTCTAACAGAACTATGGCTTGCCCAAGGTCATCCAGTAGATGCAAGTGGAGGCGTAGGGAATCAAACCTGGTACTCCCAGATTAGAGTCTGTGCACTTAACCACTACAGCAAACCGAGACCAAAGTTTTTCAGGGTATCAGATCTAACCATTTTAACAATACATATTTATGGGGGAGAAGCTTTTCAGCTTCCTATAGGGGAAGGGATATACAGCCTTACACATCCTATATACAATGCATTTACAGAAAATATTAAATAAATAACTCACCAGGTGTATATAGAAATATATATACCGTATGTGTGAAATTGAGTAATCACAGGGGGATTATATGCATTGTAATTTATAATGTTTGTTTATTATCGATTTATTTTGTTCCTGTATATTCTGCCTTTCTCCACAGTGGGGATCCAAAGCAGCATATATCATTCTCCTGTCCTCCCTTTTATCCTCACAAAAACCCTCTGAGGTAGGTCAGGTTGAGAGTAGGGTTGCCAGGTCCAGGTTGGGAAATACCAGGAGATTTGGGGGTGGTGCCTGAGGAGGGCGGGATTTGGGGAGGGGAGGGACTTCAGTGGGGTATAATGCCAGAGTCCACCTTCCAAAGAGGCCATTTTCTCCAGGTGAACTGATCTCTGTTGCCTCGAAATCAGTTTTAATCCCAAGATTAAGTCCTAGTCCAACATTAGGACCTCACACCCCCTGAAACTTGTTCTGAGATCCATCCTAGGAAGGAAAGGTGGGGCAGAATTACTTTTAAAATAAATAAAAAGGAAAGAAACTGCAGTTAGGTGTGTATTACAGGTCAGAAACAGGACTAGGAGGGTCCATTCATAGCCTCTTCATGAATGAGCCAAGAAAGCTCAAAGCTTCCAGCATTCAACAGAATTATATGGGCACACATTTCTAAGATCTGTTATCATACTGGTGTTTACTCTGCCTGAGTTCCCTCTATGTAGAAGGCAGAATTCTGCTTTCTTCACTGAAATAGCCTCCCTGCTCCCCTCAAAAACAAAAAAAAGTAAGATTTTCCCCCTTCAGAATACAAATTCATATGGGAAACATAACTTATGGCTGGCTAGGCTCCATGCAGCACCTTAGTGCTCAAGCACATACATCTATGCGCCTTTGCCTTAGAAACAAGATCCAATCAGCGCTTCAAAACTTCTAAGGAGCCTGGAGGAAGAGACTGAATGAGCTGAACTCTGAAAAGCAACTCTAGCAATGGATGCTCGCCAACCCAAATTTCAAACAGCATCTCTAATAATAACCAAAAACAGCGGCAGTTTTACCAGTTGTTTCTGGGGAGCGGCAGGTTCCAGAAACCAGGGACTCTCCCAGCTAAACAAGGGGACGCTTGCAAGGTATGCCATGACCTGACGCCACCACCTATCTTCAGGAAAACCCAGAGGGTCAGTCCCTACCAGTGTTCCCTCTAAGCTGAGTTAGTGTGAGCTAGCTCACATTTTTTTAGCCTCCGGCTCTCACATTTTTGTCTTAGCTCAGGAAGGCTGGCTCCAGAGCAAACTAATTTATGCAGTGGCCAAATTGCTTGCTCACAATTTTAATGCCAGTAGCTCACAAAGAAGAATTTCTGCTCACAAGACTCCACAGCTTAGAGGAAACATTGGTCCCTACGTGGGAGAATGCCCGCGGGGAAGCCCATCTTAGTCTGTTGCAGCAGCAGCAACAACGAAACTCAAATAAACAAAGAGTCTTAGAACCTCCCTGGACGTATTTTTATCCTGGCATACATGAATCCAACGGAGAATTCACATGCGTGCAAAGGACCCCGCAACCGGAAGCCCTGCTTGTTTCGTCGGGGAGATGGTGGGAGTGAAGAAGCTTTCGGGCACACAATCCCGGTCGCCTCTAGTGAGGGAGGAAGTGAGGCAACTCCCTCCCCCCATC